ACTTTGAAATGTTTATCCGCTTGGCAAAATAAATTAAAATTTGTTAATGAATGTTTTCTTGTTGAATTAAATTAATTTACCAGTTTGTGATGGAAAACTTTGCAGAGGTTTAATAACTGCTGTGCTGCTACAGGTAAACTGTGTACGAGCATTACAGGCACACTGACCCAAGTTAACTGCTCAACTGTCTAACGAGGAAAATGCTTCTAATGGTTGGTTTTAATGCGTTGGTTTTGTATAGTGTCCTCATATGTTTGTAAAGGATGATCTTCCAAAAATATTTAATAAATAAAGTATTCTCACTGAAGTACCTTTAAGTTATTGCTTTTATCCTTTACTTGTATCTCAGAAGGAAAGCTGAAAATTAAGACTAGTGTACAGTGCAGGGGATTACCATATTTGCCGGCATATAAGACGCACCCTTATTTTACAAGGATATTTTGTGGAATTTTCTTTAGTACGTTTCATCATACAATTATTGAAAATTTTAAAGTGGTTTTGTAGGGAAAAACACATGATTTGTGCATGTAAATACATTATACAGTGACCTCGTTTAACGAACACCTCGGTTAACGTAATTTCGATTAACGAACTGCCTTCCATAAGGATCTTCAATTCGTTTAACGAAAAAAATTTCGCTTAACGAACTTCTTACGAACCGACCTCAACATGTTTTCGCTTGCACTGACCGGGCAACCAGCTTTAGTATCAGTCCGCCAATACATTAATCGGTTCTAGGGCTTAAATTCCTTACTATTTTTGTAAATATCAAGAAGTTTATACTATTCAATAATTTTAAAAGTTTAATATTCAATTTTTTAGTCATTTTAACAATTATTGAACATAATTGAAGGTAAAGTGACTAGTTTAATGCGCGGCATCCAGCCTCTTAACACAGCAAACAGGCGTCAGTCTCTCTCTGTTTTCACTGGAGGTAACATCTTGCTTGAGACTCTCTTCAACTAAACGCTTTTTTTCTGTGTTTCCAAGCAAATTATTGGTCATTTTGAAAATTATTTTACATATTGACAATATATAGTGCAGTGCAGTGTTATTTTAAAGAAAATATTCTTTATTTACAGCTAGTTTAACTTTGAAAAATACGTGTTGCCATTGTTTGAATCCAGCATGGGGCCTAAGAGATCAAGAAAAGTGATTTCAATCCAAATGAAGCAGGAAATAATAAAAAAACACGAACAAGGTATTAAATCAAATGCGCTATGCAAAGAATATGGCATGTCGGCATCAACTGTGTCGACAATTCTTGCACAAAAAGACAAATTTAAGGAAGTGAACGTGAGAGACAAATCTACAAGAGTGTTTAAAAGTAGATCCCTAATCGTAGAAACTGAGAGGTTACTTATCATCTGGATTAGGGAAAAACAGATGAAAGGTGATTCAGTTTCTGGTGATTTCATTTGTGAAAGAGCCAGGGAGATTTATGAACATTTAAAGACAGATCAACCTGGTTCTTCAGGAACAGAATTTGAAGATTTTCGGGCTAGCAAAGGCTGGTTCGAAAAATTTAAGAAAAGAAGTGACATTTTAAGTGTTGTTAGGCATGGTGAAGCTGCTAGTGCTGATAAAGAAGGGGCAGCAAAGTTTTTAATTGAATTTAAAAAACTGATGGAAGAAGAAAATTATCTTCCACAGCAAGTGTTCAATGTTGACGAAACTGGGCTGTTCTGGAAAAAGATGCCCAAAAGAACATTCATCACCAAGGATGAAGCCTCTTTACCTGGGCATAAACCCATGAAAGACCGTCTCACTCTATTGCTTGGTGCCAATGCTTCAGGGGATTTCCGACTGAAGCCTATGCTTGTCTACCACTCTGAAAACCCCAGGGTGTTCAAGCAACAGAAAGTGGTAAGAACAATGCTTGGAGTTTATTGGAAGTCCAACCGTAAGGCATGGGTGACAAGACAGTTCTTTAATGAATGGGCTATTGATGTGTTTTGCCCCTCTGTCAAGAGCTACCTAACCACCAATAAACTTCCTTTAAAGGCTCTTCTCCTCATGGATAATGCTCCTGGTCATGACCCTGACCTTGCCAGAAATTTGGAGTATAAATTTGACTTTGTGAAAGTGTTGTTTTTGCCTCCAAACACTACATCACTCATACAGCCAATGGACCAGAATGTGATCAGCAACTTCAAGAAGTTGTACATGAAGAAAATGTTTAGGAGGTGTCATCAGGCAACTTCCATTGATCCTGAACTAACACTGAAACAGTTCTGGAAGACACAATTCAACGTCCTGGAGGCTGTAAAATTGATTGTGTCATCATGGCAAGAAGTCTCCAATAGAACCCTCAATTCTTCATGGAAAGCACTGTGGCCATCAGTAGTCCATGATTTTGAGGGATTTGAGGATGACACAGAGTTGGACCAGGAGATTGTGTCCATTGGTCAGTCATTGGGTCTTGAAGTGGAGGAGAAGGATGTGGAAGAGCTTGTGATGTCTCATGAGGAGGAACTTACTCCTAATGACTTGAAGGAACTGGATGAGATGTTACGGGTAGAGGCTGACAGTGGTGAGGAGGAAATTGAAAGTGATGACCATATGTCAGCTACACAGTTGAAAGATGTGATTTACCACTGGGAGAAGTTCAGGGAACTGGCTTCAAAGCACCCAGAAGTGGAAAAAACTGAACTAACTTTGTGTCATGTTGAGGACTCAGTGGTCTCCTTCTTTAAACATAAGTTAATGGTGAGGAGGACAGATGCCCCACAGACCACAATTGACACTTTCTTCAGTAAAAGGCAGAGGGAACAAGATGCTAGCCCTCAGCCTTCCACTTCAAGAAGGAGAGAGGATGTTCATGGTGGAGAATCTGTCAGTCCAGAGGTTCCTGACATTTTCATGGAAGGTGACTCACCTTCCAAGAAGCAGTAAAATGCTTCTCCTCCACCTCCACTTCCTTCTCTTCTCCCTTCTCCTCCTGCACCTCCCACTTCAAATGCACATCATCACCATCATCCAGGAGCCTTCTACATACACACCTCAAAGTAAGTAAATTTTTCCGCCATTTTTGTTGAAGTTAGGAAATTTTCGGTGAGCTGGAACCAATTACCCAAAAACCCATTGAAACAATGGTTTCGGTTAACGAACGTTTCGGTTAACGAACGACCTTCTGGAACGGATTGAGTTCGTTAACCGAGGGGCCACTGTATACTGGAGTCAAGTAGGAAATCATATATAGTAACATTAAACTAACCCAACTCTGCCTCTGATCAGAGCAGCTGTGTGGCTTGCTTATATTTTGGTCAAGAGAATTACCGACAGGATGTGAAACTTGTATTTTTGGCCGTGATATTTGTTGCCGAAATCTGCCACCAGGGTGTAACACCATCGTTATTGTTTTGGCGTCATCGACTCACTGCAAATGGCTGACTGGCGGTTGAACTTTCTGTTAACATTTCTTTAATCCTTCTAGGGGCATTTTTCATTTAGATAATAAACAAATGTTTGTTAAAGGTAATACAGTCATTAAATAATGTAAGACATGTATCTGGTGTGGGTTACGTATTCTGGGAGGAGGTACAGTGAGATGTTGTGAGCTTCCCTCTACCATTAAGCCAATGTACGCCATTATTTAAGTCCGGCAAATTTGCCATAAGTTTGTGATAATTTGGCTTGTTTTTCTGTACGTATTTTATTAGTAGTAAACACAATTTTTGTGCTTAGAGGACTACTGCTCGTCCCAGACTCCTTAGCTAGGTACCTCCGCCTACAGTGCTTGGCCTCCCATCAGTAATATGGGCGCATTAGACGCAGGGTAATTTGGGATACATTTAAAAAAAAGAGGATCTTATACGCCGGCAAATACGGTATATGTAAACACTATATTGTACTCACCAGCAGATGCTGTTGTCTTGGGCTTGTGATGCAGGTAGACCTAATGGAAATATGATGATACAGGATGGCCTGCCTTTGTCCTGTACCATCTACAGTTTGGACCTCTTTAATCCGGAAGCTTGGAACCAGACTGGTTGCAGATTAGCGAAAATTCCGAACCATCAAAGCTGAGGTTATAAAAGGCAAAATAATGCATAAAATGTACTATTACTATACTCACTAATTTCTTCAGTATAGACATCTTTTCTAAAATAGTTAATGTCACATGCTTACATTTCACCACATTACAACCACTTCCACTGCTTGCTGGTCTCTCAGGAGGCATATTTAGGGGTAAATATAAATATTTAAAGGTAAAATAGTGGCAACAGCCACAAGAAGTGAGCTATGATACTGTACCGAACCATCGAAGCTGCCGGACTACTGTATCAGGTCCCGGGTTAGTGAGGTCCAACCTTTACTATAGCAGATGCTGAACAGGTAATGCTGTTGCTGAACAACTCTGCTGCTGAGCATGTTCTACTACTGCTGCTGCTGAGCAGCTTCTGTTGGTGAGCAGCTGCTGCTACTGAACAGTTTCTGTTGAGCAGCTGCTGCTGCTGCTGCTCCCAGTGGCAGCACCCACAGAGTGCCTCCCAGGAGCAGTGCGCCAAGTGTTTCAGGAAGCGTTGTTACTGGAAATGCGATGGTGAATGTATTTTTTCATTCAACTAACGTCGCATCTCAGGAAGTTCTAAATAGCACAAAAACATAGCCCCTGAGGCCCTACAGGGCCGGTGCACTGACAGAGCCCCATGGGACTCCAGCAGGGGCAAACCCCCCCAGGGCCCTCCAAGGGGCAACTCCCACAGCACCCCCTGGGGCCCTCCCGGGGACGGCACCCCATGGACCCTACTATAGGCGGCGCCTTCAGGGTCGTCGACCCCAGGGACCCTCCTAGGGGCATCGCTCCCAGGGGCAGCGTCCTCAAGGACCCTCCAGGGGACTGTGCTGCCAGGGGCAGTGACCCTAGGAGCAGTGTCCCAAGGTGACCTACCAAGGGTGGCAACCCAGGGACTCTCCCAGGGGCGCCACCCACGGTGGCCCTCCCAGGGGCGGCATCCCCAAGGACTTAAAGGAGTAGTGGCTGCAGGGGCCCACCCATGGGCGGCGCCTCAAAGGACCCTCCAAGAGTGCGGCGCCCTCAGGGGGGCCTACCAAGGGCGGTGCCCTCAGGGGCCCTACCAGCGGTGGTGCCCCCAGGGACCCTCACAGGGGTAGCACCCCCCAAGGGACCTCACAAGGGCGGCACCCCCAGAGGCTTTTCCAGGGGCGGTACCCCCATAGGCCCTACCAGGGGCATCAACCCCAAGGGCCCTCCCAGGGGCCCTCGTCGGGGCGGCGTCCCCAGGGACCCTCCCAAGGGTCCTCCCAGTGGTGGTGCCCCCAGGGGCGTCGCCCCCCGGACCCACATAGGGGCGTCGTTCCCAGGGGTCGGCGCCTCCAGGGGCCCTCCTTCGGGTGGGGAGCTCTCTCAAGGGCATCGCCCCCAGGGATCCTCCTAAGGGCGTCGCTCCCAGGGACCCTCCTAGGGGGCGGCACTCCCACGGGTGGCGACCTCAGGGGCTCTCCAAGGGACGGCGCTCCCAGAGAAGGTGCTACCAGGGGCGGGGTCCCCCGGGACCTTGCTAGAGGTAGCGCCTCTAGGGACCCTACCAGGGGCACTCCCAGGAGCCCTAGAAAGGCGGTTCCCCAGGAACCCTCCCAAGGATGGCGCCCCCAGGGACCCAACGAGAGGCAGTGCCACCAGGGGCTTTCCAGGATCCCTCCCAAGGGTGGTGCCTTCAGGGGACCTCCCAGAGGGGGAACCACCAGGGGCCATTCCAGGGGCTGTGACCCCAGGCTTACTTCCAGGGGCACTGCTAGGAGCGGGGCACCCAGGGACTCTACCAGTGGTAGTGCTTCAAGGGACCCTACCAGTACAAGAGGCACTCCCAGGGCCCTAGAAAGGCGGTTCCCCAGAGGCCCTACCAGGTGCACCGCCCAAAGGGGCCCTATAGCTTGATTGGTCATGGTGTGGTACATATTACATACATCCAGCATTCCTTTACTTATGTGATTTGTGGATTAAAATACAAACCCACTAATTTCAGCCAAAAGGTGAACAGAGCAGTCGGTCAGCACAACACCCCAATTTATGTTTTCCGATTGGATATTATTCTCCGTTTCGTTTTTTCGGGATGAGATGGCAAATGCGATGGACAATGTATTTATTTATTCAACTAACGTTGCATCTCGGGAAGTTCTAAATAGCACAGAAACAAAGCCCCTGGGGTCCTACAGTGACAGCGCCCCATGGGGGCCTAGCAAGGGCGACGCCCTCATGGGCCCTCCCAGGGGCGGCGCCCCCATGGCGCTCTCCCAGGGGCGGCCTCCCCAGGGGCGCTCTCAGGGACGGCGCCCCCAGGTGCCCTCCTAGAGGCGGCGCCACCAGGGGCACTACCAGGTGCTGCGCCGACAAGGGCCCTCCCAGGGGACGGTGCCTCAGGGACCCTTCCAGGGATGGCGCCCCCAGTGACCTTACGAGGTGCAGCACCCCCAGGGGCTTTCCAGGAGTCCTCCCACGGGCGGCGCCCCCAACGGACATCCCAGAGGCGGCGCCCCCAGGGGCCCTACAGGTGCAGCGCCACTAGGGGCCTTCCCAGGTGCGGCACACTCAGGAGCCTTCCTAGGGTCGTCCCCTCAAGGTCGACGCCCCCAGGGGTCCTCCCGGGGGCTGCTGCTGACCAGCTGATGCTGCTGCTAATGCCGCTGTTGAGCAGCTGATGCTGAGCTGCTGGTGCTAGTGCTGCTGATGATGATGATGAGCAGCAGCACTAGCACCAGCTGCTCAGCCCCAGCAGCAGCTGCTCAATATCATCATTAGCAGCAGCTCGGCAGCAGCAGCAACCAAATGTATGGAGCCAGGTGGAGAGATCCAGGAACCGGAAGCAGCCAGATGCAGATATCCAAGGTCTCTGCATCTGGCTGCTTCCGGTTCCTGGATCTCTCCGCCTGGCTCCATACATTTGGCTGCTGCTGCTGAAAATAAATGAAAATAATTATTTACACTTGTATTACCAGCAAGAGAATTTACTGAGCATCTGCTGCTGAGCATCTGCTAAACACCAGCATTCACCTCTCCTCTAGGTTAAAATTAAAAAGAAACTTTTATATTAAATTTATTATTTCACTGAAGATTTTGAAGTATAAAAGTTTTTAATGGAGGATATATTAAAGCACGATCTTTAGTCAAATAGTCGAGAATACCTGTAGTGTACCTCCCTATCTAATATGGTGAAAGCTAGCATGGTCGACCTGGAAACTGTTTATAGGACAGCCAAGCGTCTATACCGTGAACAACTCCCAACACCAGTCCAAGTGCCTGTAAGACAATACAGTATTATTAATACAAGTAATCAGATTAATAGAATTTTAATAGTAAGCTAGGTTTATATATATATATATATATATATATATATATATATATATATATATATATATATATATATATATATATATATATATATATATATATATATATATATATAACAGTGAAACTTTAGTCACCCTTAAAATATTATTCAGGGCCTCAATGCAGCGCTGAATCCCCTCCTCCCACTTCTGGACGCAGATCTGAAAGTCCTTGTTGGTGAGGCTGGAGAACACCTTCAGCGATGAGTACTGAATCTCCATTATGTCCATGATCATCTTCCCCTTGAGGTTCAATTTGAACTTGGGAAACAGCATGGCATCCCAGTGGCCCCCCACCCTCCATACTCTACAGATCTGGTCCCCTGTGACTTATGGCTGTTTCCGAAGTTCAAGTTGAACCTCAAGCTAGAGATGAAAATGAGACGAGCAAAACATGTTATGAAGCCAATGGTCTCCATGATAAGATGTGCAAGTTCGAGACTGCTATTTATGCTGTGTTTTGGCATGACGTTCTTGGTAAAGTTGATGCAACAAGCCATGCATTGCAAGATCCTAAACTCGATTTGAACAAAGCAGTAGCAATGCTGAAGTCCTTGGAATGTTTTTTACGAGAAAAAAAGAAATTGCTTCCATGTATATGAGAAAAAGGAAGGGAAATGTCAGAAACTGGGGATTATTCACAGACACGCAAGCGTCAACGTAATGTACGACTCAATCCATTGGATTATGGACGATCAGAAGAAGCAGCCCTCTCAGTCAGAAAAATTTCGGGTTCAGAATTTCCTTCCAGCAAGTGATCAGTTCCTGAGTTCACTGGATCAACGGTTAAAGGCCTATAAGGAAACATGTTCACTTTTCGGGTTCTTGTCTAAACTGGAGTCAATGAATTGTGACGAAATTGAAGCAGCTGCAGCAAAATTGGTTGCTGAGTACAAAAATGATTTGGATCAAACACTTGGAGTTGAACTTGTGCAGTTTGCAGCATTCTTCACTCAATTTCTTGAAGATGATGAGAAAGGGAGGGCACATTACCTTTACGAGCTGTTGATAGACAAGAAAGTTGTAGATACATTTCCAAATGTTGAAATAATGCTACGGATGTACTTAGTGCTCATGGTCACAAATTGTTCCGGAGAACGTTCTTTCAGTAAAATGAAGTTTATTAAAAACAGACTTCGTACTACAATGTGTCATGATAGGCTCAGCCACCTGGCTTTGATGAGTATCGAATATGACATCCTCAGAGAGATTGACTTCGAAAAGTTGATCAAAAACGTTGCAGCGGCCAGGTCAGGTAAAGTGCCTGGTCTGTAAATAAAGGTAATGTTTACTTTCTATTTTGCAATTGATCAATGTTTGTGTTCAATATATCCATTATACATGGTCGATGGCAGTTATTTTTATTAAAATTATTGTTATTTTCCAACATGTTCATACTTTTGTTATAATTTTATCAAATTCATTAAATTGTTTCTTTGTTTTACTATTGGATGCAAGACTTCAATTTTATTTATAGTTGCGTTAATACTTATTCTGAATCTATCTGACCTTGGACTTAAAGAAGCCTATACATGCATTCTTGGACAGAACCATTATTTGAGTAGAGGTTTATCAGACTAATAATGCAAAGAATCATCTCTCTGTAATAACTAATAATATATTCTTTTCTGTGAAGTCTCTTGAACGTTTTTGACATGTGCGGTAGTAGCTATATCAGGGCTGGTCGACTTGAAACCACATGAATGACTCCAGTCATGTCTCACTTTTGTGTGTGTGTGTGTGTGTGTTGGGAATTTGTACACTATCAATAAATATACAGTTAATTAAAAATTTCTCAATGTTCTAATTTCCTCAATATAACTGCATATGGCTTCAAATTTCTCCAAAGAAGTGTTCAAATTTCAAAATTTTCCAATACTCACATAAGCAGCCGTCATGGCTGGGTAGACAGTGAAGTATGGTCTAGTCAAGTAAGGGATCCATAGAAAGGTTTGGACTGACCAGGATACATAAGCTGAAGATGTCAAGTAGAGGATACAGGCCAAGGTGTTGAACACTATTTCCTGTTGGCAGAACAATACATCGTGACAGTTAATAAAATACTCTATAATGTATTCCCATAATTAGAGTGCATCTTTGTGCTGTTAGACAGCTACATACAGTACTGTCATTTACAATAGTTTGGTGGAAACAACACAATCCCCTACTTGCACTTTCCTTTACCCACTCTCTCCCTCACCCTCCCTCTCCCACACCCTCCCTCTCCCCCACCCTCCCTCTCCCCCACACTCACTCTCCCCCACACTCACTCTCCCACACCCTTCCTCATCTTCACTCTACACATTCGCCCGTCAAAGATACAGTACAGTACTGTATTATGAACAGCTGAGGTAATAACACATACCCTCTATAATAACTCCCACCATTTCTAAGGGCATGATGTTTAGGTATTCAAGATAGACTATCCAGTAATTTGATGATGCAAGTCACTCGTCGAAAGTAGAAAACATTGAGCATTTGGTATGTGTACTGTATATAAATCTTTGTCCAAGTTCATTTCTTTGTAATGAACTTCAGTGTCGAGTATAAACTAACCAGAACAGAAGAACGGATGAGTTGGAAGGAGTTGGCCGAGATGATGTAGCAGAAGGTGAGGAGGCACACCACAAAGATGCAGGCGGAGATGGTGACCAGAAAGAATGTGAAGGATTCTCCAATTTTTGAGCTGTGAGGTAACCCGTAGTTCAGTGTCAGTGATAGGCAGATTGCAGACAGAAACTGTAACAATGAGTGTGATTAGTTATCCAATTAGTACTAATTGCACAGCATGATTGACTTTAATTATATTAAATATCTTTAAAGATGATTTCAGAGGCCACTAATTAACACCAATTACTACAATTTTTAAGCAGTGAATCCAGATCCTTAATCAGCATATAAAGTAGTACCTCTATCTCTCCTCTAACATGGTCATGATCCGGGCTTCTGTTGTGCCATGTTGGTCTTAATGATAAAGAAAATAACTTAAAAACCTACCAGCTGAATGATCTTGAGCCAGCCGAACTTAGATCTCAGGACACCGAGGTGGATACAAGAGCAGCAAGTACAGCAGATACAGTTTATGCCAGCCTCTCCACCTCCCCTGTTAGAATAGGCTGAGGGCTGAATTACAGTGGGACGTACAGCACCACTACTCCACCCTACTGAAGGACCTTGTCGCATGCTGTGGATTTTGAGTCTTCCGTCGTCTCAAAGAAGCTAGATTGATAGTGCAGGGCCGTGTAGACCTGGAAAAAAGAATTTGTAATGAACGACTCAAGAGACAAAAAGCTATTCCTTGTATAATCAATGTTACATGGGTTGTTAACGGAAAAAAATATTATTGGACGCGTTTTTTAAAGTCCAGTACACTGTAGATATAGATTTAGATTACTGCTGTGAATGTAGTTAGTGACTAAAGAGGACAGGTAGATTTTCTCGAGTCATTTCATGGACTAAAAGGTGCACGATTCCAATTGGTAGATCCAGACACATTGTAAACCGATTTTTATAAACATTCACACACACAGGCTCCAAGGACACCGTTGTGCTACATTTGATACCCTTAATTGACTAACATTTTATTGTGTTAAATGCATTTAGGTTTGTTCGTGGGTCATGGTCAGTGCACATAACCAATTTATATCTCGTGGCCCACTGAGATGGAGGCCCACTCGTGTAGCTTACAAAAGGAGGGCCACTCCAATAGCCTACTCACTAGGGTGGTACGTGGAGCAACTATGACAAGGGTAACACTGACCTTTGTAGCGGTGGTAGTACGTGGAGCAGTCATGACAAGGGTAACACTGACCTTTGTAGCGGTGGTAGTACGTGGAGCAGTCATGACAAGGGTAACACTGACCTTTGTAGCGGTGGTAGTACGTGGAGCAGTCATGACAAGGGTAACACTGACCTTTGTAACGGTGGTTATTACCACTGCTACCGTGGAGCAGTTATGACTAAAACTGACCTGGGTGGGGTTGTGGTCGGTGGGGCGGAGGTGAGGTACTGGCAAGGCAAGGCAAGGGGCAGAGGCGGTGACAGTGAAGGTGCCATCTCCTACCGAGAGCTATTTTGGGCAGCAGTCGGAACCCACCCCGGGAGTAAGACTGTAGTGCCCACCACCGCCTGTCACCACACCCACGTCCGCTCTGCTACTTCCGCTCGACAGTATTTGCGTCTTTTGTTTGTAGGGAGGGGGGAATTTTTTTTTTTTAACGAAAAATGGATCTCTTACGCCTTTTTCCCCTCATGGCGCAGGTCGGCCTACTGTGCGTCATGAAATATATAAACACACTCACTCATCATTCTCTCCATCTGAGGTTATTCCACTCTGGTGTTCCCTCCACAATGATACCATTATTTTGAGAGAAGTGTTTTGTTTACTGCATATGAACTTAACTAATGGTCACCCACTAGAGGTGGCCATGCCGAGGGAAGGAAGCCTGTGGCTTGTGTAGGATGCCTTCATTGTTCTTGAATATGTTTACTCGACTTAGCACTTTGCTATCACTAAACATATGCAAGCCTTACACACACCCCTTCATTGAGATATAGGAATATCTTAATCCTCTCCACACACGAGTTTGCATTACTTATGACAAATAGTGCATTATTTTATGAAAAAGTATTATACCCACGAAATTAAAATGAAGGAAGTGTAGAGAAAAAACGAGGGGGAGGAAATAACTGGCACACGAGACTGAACCAGTTCTAATGTTCTGGCGATCTAGCATGTGACTTGCCCAGCAGTCACGTATACAAATTTGTGCATACATTTACTCGGCTAATTTCATCAAATTATTAAATACTTTAATATTAATATAACTTAACCTGGATAGCGATCAAGGTCTAAATACACAGGACAGCCAGAGTGCAGGTTCCTTCCCTTCCCTCACAAGTCAGGCCAAGGAGGTTATATTCTAGGATGGCTCACTCAATGCTAATTTTTTATCGGCTTGCGACGGTGGCGTCACCAAGGGGCTAGTGGATACATAACACATTAAGCCCAGTGCACCTTACATGATAGTGTATTCCGTTTTGACAGGATTTTTTCTTTATTTTTTTTTTTGCTATTGATGAAACAATTCCCTCTCCCTTATACAGCGGAAGATTATCTTAATTCATGATCTTCCACATTAGGCGTCTCCGGAATCATACGAACTTTAAATGCCCCAGGATCACATGTACAGTACTACAAGTACCCCTTCTGTGTGTATTATTATATTCGAGTTTATATTATATTTACATGCCCATTTATCAGCATTGTCAAGCAAAATTACGTCTAGGAAACTCTTCCACCAATTGGCTCCATTGTTATAAGACCACTAACCATTTATTCATATGACTCCAGCAACTGTACACCGATAAGAGGATTTTATATGAATCCTCACCAGGGAAGAACGGCGAGTAGCACCTTCCCTGCTAAGTGGTTGTGAGCGAACTCACTTCTGGGTTGGTAGCAGCCCGGTTTGTTTACATTGACATCATTATGGCTCGAACCTTCGTGGAATTTTCGAGGCCGGGCCTCATTTTTTATGCTTAATTTGTATAAGCGAACCAAGTATAACGCAGCTTGCCGTGTTTCCAGGTAGTTGTGTTAACAGGTCTATGAAAACGGGTTCACATGTTATCTATTTGATGTTATTAATAAATGTTGTATACATCAATTACATACACACAACAGGTTTTGCTAACCGAGTGAATCTGTTGCCTGTAGAGGCGAGACAGGTGAAGGTCGCGGTGGTGTGGATCACTGCTTGAGAACTTCGTCTCTTAACTTGACGACTATCACTTTGCTTCCATGTCGAGCAATAATAGAGGAACAGTACCATCACTTTCTCATTTGTTTAGATACACATTAAAGGCAGTAACATTTAGAATCTATAAGCTTCTTTAGTGAAAATAGTCATGTGGGCAGCATAAACGTTCACTCGGCTGACCAACCTCGGCAAAGAGGAGAGATGAAGGGAATATTGAGTGAGAAACCTTCGGAAAATTGGTTAATTCCCGAATCGATTGTCCGATTCATGGCACTAAGTACCACTATCCTGAGCGCTCACTCAACAGTGAAGGACCAAACAATAACTGTCCTTAGAATCTTTATGACCATGGAATTTTGCTCGCGACCTATAGTTGCCACAAATTGAGGGGGGGGCGCTATACGCGACTCGATACATACAATATAAGCAATTATGATAGGTGAATCATACGCGTTAGTAGCTGTACTGGTGTGAGGAAAGCAGAGGGATGTCGTGGCCGTCACTCTTCCCATCCACATACTAAACCCTTCCAAGACCAGGTCGACCCGATGCTTTTCAGTAATGGCGATATCCGGAAGTACTTTTGCTACGTGTAAATCACCAGTAAGTTATAAAATCATGACTGAGGACCCGTTAATACTGGGAGGCATTAGGATTTGGTATCCAAAAGGACCGAAGCCGCCTCTTATTTGCTCCATAACTCTTGAGGAATGTTATCATCTGGTCCCTTGGTATTGTATATGATCTAACTTGACTGTGGCCTGTTAACTTCGGGGATACCAGGAGTAAGTATCCATTAGGGTTAAGGACCAGCAGTGAGACGCATTAGACGTGTCCATTATCTGGCGTCATGGTGTAGAATCAAGCCACAATACACTATTACATAAAACCCCTAAGATAGTTCTCTTTATATACTGTTATTTTACCTTTACAATCATCAATTAGGATAAAATAAATACAAAGTATTAAAAAAATTCATTGAATAATAACATTTCTTTTTCCTGTAGTACCATCACTAACCAAGGCCATTATATATTAAAACCTGAATGCTCCGGGCGACATTTATCATTGTGCAGTAAATACAGTGGAGGGCGCCAAAACTTTGGATCTACATTCAAGAAAAAATAAAATACTGTACAGTTATTTGCAATTTTACAGGTCTGCTACCAGTTACATATTTCTATATCTACTCTTGGATTATGCATTCTGAAAATAGTACTTCCTTTTAGTGAGAAGGCTGGCTCTCTGGGCCCGGTCCGGGGTAAACATCCACGTCCTGTACACCTGCAGGAGCTTGGAGATTCTCCAGCCCAGGATCAGCTGCAGCAAGTCTCCCATTTTATATAACGTCACTTATTAACCAAACAAAACTTTCCTCAAGTCTTTAGTAACATGAACATGTTTACGAGACTTAGGTTGGTCCCTGTGACACACCTGTCGGCAGTGCTCGTCAGTGATGGAATGATTGCAGCCAGACTTGTTAACGCCACACAACATCTGCAAGAACGAAAAAGTCAACTACAGATGTTGCTGCAGACTCTGGACCGACAAATTAAAATTTTACACTTCCCTAACTCCAGATCACCAGAGATGTGACCACTTACCTCACCGGAAGGTTGGCAGACGCAGTACCTACAAGGAGACCAGGGCACAACTCTGCCTGGTAGATAATAGTGGTCCTTGAACACACACAACCTCGGCTTGTGGCGAGGATCTTCAGCCCACAACTTCATTTGTGTCCCCCTGAGTTCGTCACACGGATGTAAAGGATTCCTGTAACATTCAACCAATCATTACTTTGAAGAAAATATTGTTACCACTTTGCTATCCAAAGGGAAGAACGTCTTCTTTATGACCATTATCCATTGTTAATACGGTCTACTCCAACATTCTATTCTTACCTATACACGAGACGACTTTTCAACATTAGTCACGGACACCATACAAGCTTTGAATTGGTGCCAGCTTTGAATTGGTGCCAGCTTTGAAGAATATTAATCTTAGATAGGATTCATTAAGTATAGTATGGCGGTCGGGGGCAGTGTTCAGGAATAGTTTTCATAAAGCTCTTAAACACTTTTTACTGGCAATCAAAATACTGTTTCCTTGCTATCTCAAACACGGTTTTCAGTTTAGATACTTGAACAAGCAGTTCCAAGCTTTTAAATTACACAACCTAAAAAATTACCTGCGAACAGTACTTTTAACTAACTTTTTGCTAAGTATATTAAAGACCTCTGCTGGTGCCTTGGCCCTCACGTCATCCAAGTTGTTACAGATAACACGCGCCAGTGTCGACTTACGAATTGACTGCAGTTGTTGGTGGGAGAAACCAGCGTCGGCGTTTTCATACCTGTAAATGATAAAATAAACACGTGTATCAATGAGGAGAAAGATCTGAATATACTGACCTAGTGCCTTCATTTAGAATATACTGCACACGAGGAACATCAATAAAAAGTACTCGAAGAAGGTAAAACAATCCCGTGAAGACATGCAACGTACTATAGTCCACAGGTTATGGTTCGAGAATTCTTTAGTACACCTCTATGTGTTTCCTCGTTCATTGTGCAATGGTGAGCAGCCCGAGGTGTGTAGGGGGGCCAGGAAGCTGGGTGTACAAGACGAGCAATAACAAGGTTTAAGAAGGACTCACCAAAATCTGTCTCCACGCTTTAGGTTGTAGAACTGATAGGCTATGATGCAGGAAAATGTTGGTCCAATTAAAGCATCTGGTAGACTTTCCTCCGCCTGAGAAGAATATAATTACACGTGTAAGCTTAAGTGATTCACCGGATTTGAACATCTGGTATTAAAGCTAGTCATCAACACACGCCCTAACTACTTAACTAAATGCATCTTTCAAATTCAATGGATGAATTCTCATAACTGCTGGATTAAACAATTCCTTTGGAAAGAAGAGCATAGTGCAGGTATACAAACAATATACATAGTGCAGGTATACAAACAATGGGAAACTGTTCGTCGGTTTGACCAAGGGAGCCCAAGTATGAAGTAAATACAACGCTTGAAAGGATGGTAAAGGCAAATGTAAACTATATCGACAATAATTAATCCGTCTACTTCATCTCACCAAGGCCCCAACGGAGAGGTCCACATCTTGCACGTTTGAGTAAATTTTTCTGAGGAGATCAAGAGAGACCGGAGGCATGAATTGTTTTAGGTCTCGAAATAAAGTTATATTTTTCTTTTCACAAGCAGCGACGTACAAGTGGTATGGAGGTATCCCGTGATCACGACCTGGGGAAGAAGTCATTATTCGTCAAGATTTCGTTCGTTTCTATGAATATCACTACGAGTGTTCATTTAGGTATTGTTCAGTGTTCATTCTGCAAACTTCGTACAGATACAACTGTCAATTACACTTCAAAAGAAACAACAACGTGAATGTCAACGTCAAATTAAGGTTTACTTTACCAACTTCTAGAGGAATTCTCACCTCGAGCTATGTTGAGGGCGAGGAGGTCCTTGCCAGAGTGGGGGACACCGAGGTTCTCAAACAGTCGGTTGAGGATAGTGTCGACCAAGCGAAGGTCCACACCGTTCACCCTCGTACCCACAAGACCTCTCAACACCTCCTCGAATTTACCAGGCTGTATGAACCATTAATCAAAGAAGATGAGATTAGGTAGTGATCACGAATTGGTTTTTGGTTGTGTTAAGCTGCACTAGAAAAATATACGCAGGATGATAAGCCACGTAATTTCAGAACAATCGGGGACTGCGAGGACTAAACAAAGTTAAAAGCAAATAAAGTAAACGTTGGCAAAAGAGAAACTTACAGGGCACTAAAATATTTAATGCATTTAGACAATAAACTTAAGTTCTTCTAAATTCAATGGCTGCACATTATCAACAAGTCATGAGCCTCCCTTATATAAAAATGTAGAACTACTAAATTGTAACTTGCCTGAAAAAAAAAAAAAAAAATTCAAACCTACAAAAACTGAGCACTCGGGAAGCATTCACCAAAAATGCCACTTAACCCGGTGACCAGCGAGATCAAACCGCGCGGTCACACACACAATCATACCGATCTAGCTACTATTCACCTCAAAGATGGCAGACGGGTTCTCAAAGGTTTGGACAAGGGGTATCGAGGACGTCCGTGTGTAATGACGGTCTACCAGCCTCAGGTCGTCAGGGATCATGGTGTGACCCACTCTGAAGGCTGCCGAGGCGAACTCATTCAAGATCCCCGGGTTGACCTGGTTGTCATAATCCTGTAAAATTATGAAGAACTGAAGTCATGTTTTACTCTAACTCCTGACAAAACACCTTTTGTATCTCCTGCCGATTCCTATTTAAATGCAGAGTTTACAAGCCTTTTTTTTAGCGTGTAAAATTCTTAGTTTACACAGAAATCTAGTGCAGAGGAAATGCGCTTTGTTGCATGTATATTAATTTTATAAATTAAACCTTTTTGTTGCTGCTATGAAAGATTCATGGATTTTTATTACTGTATTATTCACCCCCTCCCCTGCTCTCCACATCAACAAAGGAAGGAGAAACTATTACAGTACCGTTGTGTAATGTAGACTAAAACTGCCATAGACCTATTCAGTACACATCTCAAGACCAATCGTTCGGTACCTGATAGTATCCAAAGCTTCTGGGATTTAGTTTGTACTCTTTCATTTTCGTCTTCCCAAGAAAAATTGGCAGAAACTCAGTGTAGATCATATTCTGATACTGTGCAATGTTGATCCTCCGCGCCTCCTGTTGACAAAGAGGACGTATAAACTGTACATTAAAAACCAACAAGATTACAAGATAAAGCCACAATCGATGATTTTTTTAGCAGCTTTTCGATTATAGTGCAGATATTTTCTTGCTTTCTAGTCTTACCACCATTAGTGAAAAAGATTTTGAATTTTACAAACAAGGTAAATATGGTGGCTAATGGGGTCCAGTTCGATTAGTCAAGGCTAAGAAAAGATCTATTAGGACTGGGGTGGTATCCATTTGGCCCGTAACCAGAGGAAGTGACCGACTCGCAACACTTGTCTGGGTTACCTGATAGAGTCTCTCGTCGTCCCAGTGAGGGTTGATCGTCTTCAGCTTCCTGGCGAGGCGGTTGTGTTCCCTCAGGTACAGCGCATGCATCACCAACAGCGCCAAGTGCTCGTTCACCCTAAAGGTGTACGAGCCGTCAGGTGAGCTTATCTACCTTCTATTTATTTCTATCAATCATTTATCATCTAATTTATGTGCAATTTAGACTAAAGAATAAACTATTGTTCCTAAAAAGTTGCCTTTGTCTTTAGACAACATAAAAAATAGGAACCCTTAATTAAAAAAACTACGGAAAATGACCGTTTGTCTGGTTAACGGGGAAGGATTCACACCCACCACGAAGGGACGTCATGCATTAACACCCTCGAGGGATGTCACGCACCTGTCATCTCCACCCAGGAAGCACTGTCGTTGGGGTGTCCGACAGTCTATGAAAAGCTCTGCTGGAAGTAACGGTAGAAGGCCCTTGTAGGTCTCCTTAAGGTAACCCGCCGAGTAGGTCCTCAGCGCTTCTTGTCGACACACTGTGCTCCCGTACACCTGTGAGGGCAAATGAAACCGTCACAGGTAGAAAATTTACTCTGAAAGGATGTGCAACATGTAAGGTAGGCGGATGAGCGAGTGCGCCTGCGTGACATTTCTACTTGTTCTAACCCTTTCCTATCACTTCCTGCATTTGGCATTCATTTTACTGTCAAACAATTGACTAATTATAGAAAATAATTTGGAAGGAACAATAAGACTTTGTTTATAAGGACACAGACTCCCATACGTAGCTCAGTCTTAGAACAATATTGTTATCTAAAGTGTGTGGTTAGAATACGAAGCTACAACCACAAAATACATAACTAAAAATTCGCAAGTTTTAGAGTTGCAGCCACTCTGTATCTTCCCTGTCGATACAACTACAGTGAGCACTGGTTACCTTTACCAGGAGTCGCGTATATTTTTCTTGTTCGTCTATTACTCGAACTTTCCTTTCTGGACTTAAGGCAATGGTCTGGTCTGTTTAGCGGGAACTAACCAATACTAGTCGGTCACTTAGATGCGTGAGCAAATCCCACACCTAAATAGCTACCCACTTCGTCTCTTGGTATCTTTACCACCATTCAAAAATATCCACACAACTTGCTCTTGATCTACTAAACAATCCTCCATCCCTACAAATTCACTGATGGCATTACTTTTTGCATCAAGTTACTCATTTTGGAGAAGATGAAACTAGTTAATCCAAGGACTCACAGTAGATAAATCCAGGAACGCTGTGTTGAAGTTCCGCTGTTGAAGTGACATATGACTGGCACTGTCTGGCCTCCAGTCTGCCAACGTCCTGTGGACAAAGTTCAGGGACTTTGAAGCCGAGTGAACACGAGTCATCTGAAGACTTTGTCCTCACATGAACTATCTAAGCAGGGAAGCACGAATAACTTCTAGATGTTATGGGATATGCAAGGTTCGTCTTGTATACAGGATACAGCACAGTAACCAATAAAATCTTGTGGTTCTGTGGAGACAAATCCGAAATGGTTCTGTACACTTTAATTTACGAGCTGATAAGTACTTTAAAACTTTAGTGAATCGTACAAACATTAGACACCCCTGATTATTGAACTTCATTAAACACCCTAATGCTACCGGGGGTGGGGGTTAGGAGGGTGGGGGTTAGGAGGGTGGGTCGAGTTAGGTTAGTGTTTGGGGGGGGGGGTGTAATTATTCAGTGAAATACAATGGGGGGGTATCAAATCTTCACGCAATACCTTTGATCATGAAAACCCTCTCCACTTCGGCCGTGATCCAGAACTTTACCTGATGACTGGGAGACACCGTCGCTTGCCTGTCTGGTCTACGGTGGCAGAGATGAAGGGATCGTGGAGAGGCAGAGGTATTGGGGCGCAGGCTGGGTTTCTCCAAGAGCTGCAGTCCTCGCACTTCTTTTTGATCTCGGCATCTGTAGGTCGATATTTACCAAGCAAGGTTAATGTAGCAACAACCACCACCCGAACAGCACAGGAGAGTAAATCAACGGGAACGTTTCTAAATATAACTTGCTTATAATATTTTGGATACGAACCAGATCTGTAGTCAATTTAACGGAATTGCACTCTTTACCTTAAAGTTGTGTACCTTATATTGCCGAAGTTGTATCATTTAACTTAAAACTACATAGATTGACCAAAAGCTTACCTAAAACCTTGCGAGTGAGGACCAGATCGTGGTCAATGAACTGTCCCATCTGCATGAGGAGGACCGTGTGGGCAGGAGGCTTCTCGACAGGCGCCTCTCGCAGAAGGAGACTCACCACACGAGGGTTGGGCAACAAACCTCCTGAAGATGACCGCCTCCTCATCAGCGCCAAGTCTGCGGAAGTTGAAGGAAACGTCTCTGAAGTAAGCAGCTTGAGAACATTTTATTTCTGGAAATAATTGCTGATGGAGTTTGTGATGAATCATAGGAAGGCTTCTAAAAGAATTCCAGGCAGAGCTTTTCCAATAACAGTTAGGAGAAAGTTCAAGTGAGGTGTTAAGAACATGTAATTCGCAATATGTATGGTGGGGGTTAACAATAAAATATCCACAAAGACATGCTCGTTTTCTCCCAACATAAGACAGCAGCTGTTGGTCAGCACAGCACGGACAAGCACTAATCTTGAGTTGGGTGGAATGCTACAGGTTGACAGGACCAATCACATCCTGTCATGCCCGCCTGCACGTGGATCTTGCTTCGTTAGTGTCTTGGCGTCAGTATCCACACTCGAGCCCAAGCACACAGTCATTGTTTAAAAGACACGAGTCCAGCATAAGGATGGCAAGAAATGTGATCTAAACCATTTTTCTAATCAATATTGAAAAAAAAAATTATCTAAATTTATTCAATAGGTTTCAAACTTTTTTTTCTTTTTTTTTTTACTAATTAGCGTCTGTTATGATTTCTTATTTTAGATTTTTGTCTTTTTGAACTTTTTTTTAGCAATTTTTTCGTTTAATTTTTTTTCTTAGGTTTTTATTTTAATTTTTTTTTAACATTTAAAACATTCTTTGTAATATTCGGGGTGGGGAGGAGAGGAAGTGTGGGGGAGGGAAGGGAGTGTGGGGAGTGTGGGGGAAGGGAAGGGACGCTCACTTGCCCACACATGTCAGTCTCAATACATTGGAGTGCCTTACGAACAGCCCCTCTAGTCTTTAAGTGTGGACACGTCAGTTATTAGGAGCATCACAAGTTAACTAAAGAGAAATAACCCAATTTACCATTGATATTTTCTTGTAAGTTTTTGTCATTTCCACGAATATACTCTTAGTCACGAATATATTCTTTTCATTACGAATACTTGTCACAAAAATATTCTTTTAGTCACGTATATATTATTTTAGTCACGAAAGTATGTCTTAGTCACGAATATACTTTGTCATGAATAAAACGCCGACACCTGGAATTACGAGTCGGTAACGAGACTATCTGAATACTTTAGTGAATAACTGGGAAATAAATAAAACAATCCCTACATGAATATCTAAACCTAGCTAGTTATTTTCCTGCAAGAGAAGGGAAAAAACCCACAAGTTTAGCGACTAGCGAGTAAAAACCCAACTAGTTTACTTTCCAGGGAGTTGAAACCCAAATAGTTGACTTTCCAGGAATAGAACATCAAAACCAGAGCTCTTACTCTCCAGAACGAGAACTTCAAGAAAGAATGATCCCAGACACGAATATCCGGAGGTGGTGGTGGTGGTGTGGCTTACCATAGACCGGTGGCAGGATACGAGGCATCGGCTGCTCGGAGCTTCCAAACTCAGGGTAGATTCGGTTGTTGCAGCGGCCTGTGATAGTGCGATAGAGGGCGCTGGCGTTACACGGTCCCTCTAATTCTCTTCTGTTGACAAGAGAAGTGCTGGTTAATTTTCAGGGGATTAAAGGGAATGTCTAAAGGTAAAATAAGCCAACTCAATGCTTGTCTAGTCTTCTCAATGATTATCATGCTCGAGACGTTACCACTTGAGGTATGTTCTATACATATCCAACACGCTATGCTTATATTTATATTGGCCTGATGAAGGTGATAAAACACTTTCCCCCCAAAAAAATATCTTTACGGAGGGAGTCGATAAATTTAAAAATGAACACGGCGACTCCAGTTGTCTCGGTTTGGGTGTGTCAAAAACCTTCACCAGTTGTTTCATATAGTCTCGGCCAAAATCTAATACACACTTTTTGGGGCAGTACCGAAGACATACTGAAACGTTAAAACTATGCCTAATTTAGACAGCCAAATGAAAAATTACCTGAATACTAGAGAAATCAAATCCCACAGAACGCAAGAGAATTCAAATCCCGCAGAATGCAAGAGAATTCAAATCCCGCAGAATACAAGAGAATTCAAATCCCACAATACAAGAGAATTCAAATCCCACAGATTACAAGAGAATTCAAATCCCACAATACAAGAGAATTCAAATCCCACAATACAAGAAAATTCAAATCCCACAATACAAGAGAATTCAAATCCCACAATACAAGAGAATTCAAATCCCACAGATTACAAGAGAATTCAAATCCCAGAATACAAGAGAATTCAAATCCCACAGAATACAAGAGAATTCAAATCCCACAGAATACAAATCCTACAGAATACAAAAGACTCCAATTTCTACAGAATACAAAAGTAACAACGAAAGTCGAGAACCTACGGACACTGGCTGGGTCCTGGAGCAAGTTGGCTCGGGAGGGTATTAGGTGGGAGGTTGACAGGGCTCCGGCCATCAGGGTCTGCCCAGTAGGGCGACACGCTCTCGTCTTCAATAAGGGAGATTTATTTTATCATTTAGGAGACGACACACTTGGCGCCGTAATAGAAATTGCATTATACGGTTACCCATCAATAAACTATATAATATGTTTGCATTAAGGTAATTTGCTTAAAAAAAATCGTGAATAAATTAACTAGATTTTAGATTTGCTATTGAGATCTAGTCTGAATCCCAAACTATAAAACTTAGCTTGGTTACAATTTTGCCTGCGTCTAACCCTCCTTTACCAAACCATCATTAACAGGACCTGACACCTTGACCCCGAAGCGACTCACCGACTGTTGGGTCCCTCACAAAGGCCCCAGGATGAGGAAGCTGGTCAGGAGATCGCTGCTGTAGTTTTTCCAGTGTTAGGTAACTTCTGCCACTAAAGAAGTTCCCTCTAGCCTGGTGTGGTTGAGAAGCATCTAGATCTTGGTGGTGTGGTTGGGTAGCGTCTTGTGCACGAGGGTGTAGTGTCTGTCCTGTGGGTGAGGTGTAGTCTAGGTAGCCGGTGACCAAGACACTCCTCAACACGATGGTTGTTACCTGCAGAGTGAATTTTTTAATTCCTACAATCTAGATTTGAACCATTTAATTTAGACCACTTCAAGATTAGCCACCCTGCTTACCTCGCCTAATAATTAAACACCCAAACGTTTACTGTAGGGGGTGGGGATAAACTTGAGTAACGAGCGTAAAATCACAAACTTCCTTGTTCGCATTCGTGGTGGCCGGAAGTACTATGGTGGACAAAAGTCCCTTCCCTCAGCCCACCTTCTCTTTCCCCCATCCCCCTTTGTCCCCCGTCATACGCACTTATCTGTAGGACGATAACACCACTTCCCTCAGTTGCTTCGTTATTCGAACCTCAGGCGATTCATTCACATTGTGGCTGGCTGAGGGAAGGAACTTTTGTCCACCATAGTACCAGATACTACAGTAATGAAGCACTACGAATACGATCTTAGCGCTCAAGTCATCACGCAAAACTAACATAAGAAAACACTACCTTCTTCGCAAAGGCTGGTAGATCTATGGAACTGTCTACCAGCTCAAGCTTTGGAATCAAGAACAGCACTGGGTCAATTTGAGGTGGTAGCCAGGTTTCCAATCGGTTATTGTTTGCAATCACATTACCAAAAAAGAAAAATTTCTGACTCGGCGCCAACGAGAAATAACGTTGATAAACCAGCTAAAAAACACATCCCTAGAAGAGCTGTTCTCGGCAATAGGTAAACAATGAACTGGGAAACGCGGGCCCGTTCGTAATTTGTTTCATGTCTTGCGTTGTGGGAAAGCGATAGCCAATTGACGACCACTGCCTGACATCGTTCGTAATTTATTAAAAAAAATTGCATTGTGGGAAGGTGGTAGCTAATTAGCTATGACACCTTGTGTATTGATATAGGCCACTCACAGCCTGAGGAGCCAGACGCTCACATTCTGATCATCGACGCCAGCCTCTAAAGAACGCGGTCAACACGAAGGGTGGGGTGGAGTAGAGGTCATCAGGCTTTTTAAGGTTAGGTTTACTCGAAAACGGGCGGTTAGCACCAAAAACCAAGGTTAGATTCGTTTGTATCACAAGAATAGGAAAAAACGTATTTATGGAAGATCGAAATCTAGCTACGGTACTATCAACTTGATCCAGCACCGAGATTCAAAATAGCCTTAGACAAAACTACCAAGAAAAATGGGTATTAATTTACAAGTGGACTCTCAATAGAAGTTTGCAAATGAATTGTTGCTATAGGTAGATCTCACCCGTATACAAACTGTCTTATGGCATTTCTATCGCAAATAACTTTTTATCGGAAATTTAAGTTTTGGTTATTTATCATAAATACTCCTCCGGAAAATCTGCAGTCACCGTGTGTCACCTGTTTCTTTACAACCGACCCCGCTCGGTGCCAGCGTACAGTTTTCTCACGTCCACAGAATACTTAAAATTACACCATACGCTTCAAGAAAGATGATTTCATTGGCACCAGATAACAAAAGAAGTACTTTGTTTAATATAGCGGGGCCGTCCCCCGGCCAGGAAGCAAGGTAAGGTTGGGTAGGTTTCTTTAGTTGGTTAGGTCAGGTCAGGTCATATCAGGTTCATTTTTATTCATTTGCGACGGAAGTGTATACAGTAGCAATCTTCCCTCGGCATGGCCACCTCTAGTTGGGTGGCCATTAGGTGAACAAGGTCTTGTACCTTGTAGCAGGGCTGCCGCTCATCCGGCTGTCTGCATCCGATCACGTTTTCTTGAAAATAATTAGCAGTTCTTTGTAGAAAACTTTCAAATGAAGATGTATAACCAAGGCATTTTGAGCACTATGAATACTTCCAATAAAAGGCCTAGGAAAAACACTGAATTCATGTTTAATGAACCCCCAAAATATAAACACATTTACCTGCAACATACCTATACGTGTAAAAATCAATACCTTATTTTTTAATTACACCAATCAGTTGTTGTACATCCGTGGTATTGATATTCATACAACCTCCTTTACACTTCGCATATTTTTCCATAGTGATAAGGGCATTCAGCGTTTGCAAGGAGTTTCTACACTGTTTTGGTAAGGTTAAATTTTGTTAATAGTCTTTCAGCGTCTGCGTTAGACGTTGGCAATGCAACGACATCCAACGCAAAATTTCCCAATTACATCATATTTAAGGTTCCCGTCATCATTCATTTTCATTACTTATAAAAATTTAATATATCCAAACTTTTTGTTTCGTCATCTATTGTCTCCCAGCATAACCTTTGCCACTGATCATTTAACTCCTAAAGCGTTCCATTAAATATCCTTGGTACCAATTCAACCAAGTCTGACAATGATGTAATAAGAATCGTTGGATCTAGGGCTTTCTGGGGATTAAGAAAAGCGAAGTTTTTGAAATGGAACATTTATGTCAAGTCTCTAATTTTTTGTGCACAAACATGAAGTTTTGCATCTCATCTTTGCATCTAATAATAAGGTTTGATTTTCTGCAATATCTGGTCTATTTTTATATACTGTAGTTGGGCAATTTCTTCCTTTATCATTATATGGTATTTAGGCCCAAAAATAAAATTTATTGAAATTTCCGATTGCTGGATAGTGACACGTCACTAATAGAATGGCGTGGTGTCAGTTTTCTTTCATCTGACTAGCAGAAGCAATTTCCGGCAAACGGCAGCCATGCCTGGTAAACATGAAATGGTAAATTTGCATAAGTGCACACAACTGTTAGAACGTAATAAAAATGTTTTTCTATGTATTTATGTGGGTTTAGATCGGTTATGACCATTTCCGTCGGAAATTGGCCGGGTTTTTTTGTCTCTTTCTTTTGGTGGGGCGTTTACCGACAAAATTATGGCCAAGCGAATGAAAAAAAATAAAAAATAAAAACAGAAAACAAACCTGACCTAACCGACTAGCCATATGATAGAATCACTTTTTTCTTACCTTATTGGACGAGTTACCACGACGCCACATATGTTGGCCTTGACGATATTTGCATTCGTTCTTGCACTTAGGACACTTTACTAAGATTGGGAGAACACCACGAGATCGAAAAAATGCTATAGTTTTTCTTTTTCTCCAAAACTCGCAATCAGCTCCATATAATTGAAGTGACACCCATCGCAGATTTCCATAGTCGGAAATGAATTTGAATTTCGAAATAGAACCAAAATAAAAATCGAATTTGATTGGGCAAAAAATACCGTGAATTAAACCACAAATCACTTTAATTGGTTGTCCCCCAAAAAACGCTTTTAATTGGCCGCGTGATGTGTACGGTAACGCATGCGCACGATGATTTATGAAGGATACAAGCAGTGTGGGGATAGAGATAATGGCGGAAGATTAATGGAAGAAAATAGATAAATTATGGATACGCCATCTCTTATTATACATTTGCGACGGTAACGTAATAGAAGAAAATTATCTTACAATTAGACGTCTTAATCGAATATGATAATAGATTAGGGGTAGGAATGTGTGGTGCGGAAATGCAATAATACCATACATATTAACTACTCGTGAAACCATCCATGTTTATCCTCAGAATGCGAGACCGATTACTGGTTACCTATATGAGACTGGACTATCAGATCATGAATAAAAATGACTACACATCGGGTTAACGATTGTTACCCTCACACATCCGTACGATCATCCGCTTTTGCTTGTTCGCTATAGGGAAGGACCTCCCATTACTCAAACATAATCAAGTTCAGTACTTACCACAACCCTAAAAATCATCGTAGCCGAGGTATAACAGGTCACCGTGTTTCAGCCACGACCATAATTCTTGCACTCCTATCACCACCACGTCCGACAAGCTAATGGACTACTGAGTCATTGACGCTGACTCGATGGTTTTACCGAGGCTGTGCCCGCTGGTCATAAATCTAAACTGCAAGTACTGTATGTAACACAAGACCAGAAACTTTGTCACAACCATAATGGGAAGGAATTTTCAGAGCCATCTAGTGAGTGTAACACGAACTGTGTCAGTAATAGAAAATGAATCAAATGTGTGTGTGTGTGTGTGTGAGGGGAGGTGTTGAGGTATGCTTTTGGGTAAACTAGGATAAAATTCATGAATTAGTTTGCTGGCTCTATGGTCTTCACCTTATTAGTGGTTAGGGATGACTCAAGACGGAGTTAAGGAGGAGTAAAGTGTCTTCAGACGAGGTTGCTGCTGTACATGGCCCGAGTTGTTTCGAATGTGGATTTCAAGCTGGTTCAGGAGAGGCGACAGGTCTTTTGTGAGTGACAGTACGTAATAACTACATCTGTCGACATGATACTGCCACCACGACGGACATGATACTATCACTTTAAACTTCCTCTACTGCAGGTAAAACATGACACTAATGCGTAGAAAAGTACAAATACACGATTCAATAGATAAATATGACGTCATCAATATTTTGTTATATGACTCCCAAGAAATTGTAACGTCATCCAGGTGTTTTAAATTCATCCTCCCACACCTGTAATCACCTGTATCGATATTTTTCCAAGGTAATTGATGGTCATTAACTAATAGAACGAAAAGGTAAAAGAAGTCATAAGCAGATGAGACGAGAACTTTGTGCGAGCCTCGATTCTTCTGTTTATACAATGTTAATGTAGTGTAATGTGTAGGAAGAGTCACGCAGTACACTTGAAAAATAATGTTGTTTTTTTCGTTCCTCAGATTCAGTTGCAGTTGAAATTTGTACATGTTTGTTGAGATCTGTTAGAAAAGACATTTTTAAGTACAAATTGAAACACTTCTACTATAATCTTTTCCAACTCGATTCAACAATTTTCTAGCATTTTTTTTGTTTCGTAACTTAGACTAAACAAGTTATTGGGGAATTTGTATAATAAATATTTCAAGTTTGATCATAAAGTATTATTGATTCAGAAAGTTAACAAATTTAAAGAAAAATTTATAACTGTTTTTGTTACCTTAGCATAAATCAATATCTTCAGAAATACTTGGATTTAGTTTTTATATTTGGAGAAAATTTGTAAATGAAAAAAGGACCAATTTGAGGATGAAATATATTGTTTACATTGGGAATAAAGTTTTTGGCTATGAAGAGAGATTAAGGGAGTACCGAGTAAAGAGTTTCAGTGCAACAGGAACAGTACCACCACACACGTACCTGCCTCAGGTGCTATGCCATTGAGGATCATGATAGTGTGAACTGCCCCAAACCCAAGGAATACAAGATCTGTTCCAAATGTACCTCTAGGGAACAAACCTGGACCGAGTGTAAGGCACCACTAAAATTCCTTAACTGTGATGGGTCTCACAGCACTATGTCCATGAACTGTCCCAAAAGAAAGGAAAAAATCAAGGAAGCGCAACAAATAGCCACAAATACATCAGTATCACCATACAAGGCTGTGCTGCCGATAGGGACCCCGACTCCTGCAGTCACTGCACGGTCATACAGAGGTGCAGTGATGGTAGGGACCCCGACTCCTGCAGTCACTATGGTCCCTGCAGCCACTACAGACTCTACAGTGTTGTTGAATACCAGAGATAGATACCTCCATGACCGTGACATACTCGCCAACATGATTGTCAAACACGCCCATGAGGAGGATGTTCGGCACCCAGGCTGCTTTCAAACAATACTCGAAAAATGCTTACGCCACCACAATCTGCCCATCCCAAAACTGTTCAGGGCAACATCCCCAGCCTCGGAGGAGACAACAGTGGTCTTTGGGGTGCACGAGTACCCGCACCAGAGATTATACGTGTTTCTCAGACTCTAACTAACACAGAGAAGACAACAAATGTCTCTGATGGGGATGCACAAGTACCCGCATCGGAGATGATAGTTGTCCCCCAAATTCCAACATTCACAGGTGTGGATGTACCTACACCGGAGATGATACCTGTCTCTCGGACCCCAAGCGATCTATCAGGAAAAGACCTGAATCTAAGCATCTACGTACCAGACCACAGCAACGAGGACTGTACACGTGATGAAGTCGCTAACGGAGTAATGGAGTACAAGATGAAATGAAAGTACGACCACCCCAGTTCCGAGGAGTACATCCACGAAGCAATTAAAGAAAAACAGGTCGATTTAACAAACTGCATCCACAAGTCATCCGATGGGATGATAAAAAAATTGAGGAATGGACGCACAGTGAACAAACCACGAATCCGAGGCATCCCCCCAAAACCAAATACAAGATACAATCGGCTCGCTTCGTAAGGCAGTGAAAATAATGCAACATAACGTCCTCCATAACGTCTGGCAAAAGATATAACGATCAGGGCAAGAACTCCTTCAAAGACTCCCACCAGATAACGACAACAACCCTACATGGTTCCCAAAAAGTTACGTAATCTCAAAAGGTCCATTACCACCCCTGATCTACATGGCCAGGCAACAGACAACCTCCCTAGACCAACATCCGCCAGTAGGGTCGGCGGAATATGAAATAAGGCCCTTAAAACACCCATATATGGGACAGGGTAGGCTGTCTAGTGCCTGTACCGACAGACAATAACTAACCCATGACACAACCCTAAGACACCATTAGCTTAGCTAGGTGGTCAGCCCGCCCTCTCTTACCTCCTCCTAAATTTCTTCAATTTCCGAACTATAACTTCCTTCCCTTACCTCTAATCTTCCTTCATTCCTCCTTTCTCTAAAAAAAAAAAAATAAAAAAAAAATAAAAAAGCTTCAGTGCATAAAGTACAGTAAAATGATGATAATTTAATTAATTTCAATGCAGTACCGTAAGACCAAATCCATTTGAGTCTAGGTTTCCTTGTTACCACGGAGACAAAACAAGCCAGAACCACCCTAAAATGCTGGTAAAATAAGACTTATCGGGATCACGTAAAAGCTAGAGTGCGTTTTTTCTCAGTTGAGAAAAGATGCCCTCCCCCTCCCCAAGAGTTATAGCTGATTGGCTGTTGCAAACCTGTCCGATTTTGTCTTGAAGTAATGATGTATTTCTAAATGAGTTTATTCAGAATCATTAGGATGACCGTTTCTGACGAGAAAGATATTTAGCTAAATTATATAAAGATACATACATTCATTATTTCAAACATGAGCACGTAGGAAGTTTATCAGAAGTATTATACATGAATTAACTGTTAAACTCTGGTAGCAAATTTACGATTTCGGAAGATGCATTTAATATATACTTATTTTTACCCACAATACGGCATACTAAGACAAATTACGTATCCGTAATACTACATTATGCAAAAACAACATTTTAAAAGATCAGAATTATATTGAAATATTACACGACCGTCAGCAGAAGCGTGAAGCACATGAAGTTGTTCGCAGTCATATTTCCCGCCTCTGCTGACGGCCGTGCTTATGTTCGAAATAATGAATGTACTGTAAGTATCTTTATATAATTTAGCTAAATATCTTTCGTCAGAAGCGGTCATCCCAACGATTCTGAATAAACTCATTTAGAAATACATCATTACTTCAGGGCAAAATCGGACAGGTTTGCAACAGCCAATCAGCTGTAAATTTTGAGGGGGGCGGGGCATCTTTTCTCAGCTGGGAAAAAAACGCACTTTAGGCACCCTAGCTTGGGTTAGGTCAGGTCAGGTCAGGTTGGGTTAGCCGAGGTTAGGTTAACTCAGGTTAGGTTAGCTGATGTTAGGTTAGATTTAGTTGGGTTAGGTTAGATTAGCTTAGGGAGATGAAATAAAAACAATATGGTTTCTGTTGAAGGATAAGAAATACTTTGTTTTAAATCTATATTAAATATAAGCTTTTACACATATAACAAATATTCATATACATAGGACAAGCATAAGATATACGAGTGATAAACGTTGAAGCTCATCTGCGCTTATATGTCTAACATGAAAAAAAAATATTGGAAGGTGGTATAATATTATCACAAAGTTCTATAATAATATATTGAATTATACAAGTATTTTTTTTATCAGATTAAATTTACATATTTTTTCTCGGTATTACTGAACAATTATCAACCAAAAAGTCATGGCAGAATTTGGCTCATTTAATCATTATAAAATATATAATTCACAAATTATCTTAAGTCTTATAGTTCGTGAGATATCTAGGCCCACCCAGATGTCAACAAAATACGCTCATAGACGATCTTCGTGAGGTATCCAGACCAATCCACACGTCATCCACGAACGCGTCCTCAACACCATCTGGCTCCTCTTTGTTTGGTTTACATTCGGATTGAGAAGACTACTAGGTCGCCTCTTCCCTTGGTATCACAGCCGAGAGTTGCCCTGTAGCCATCCAACACAAATCTTCTTACAGTAGTCGTCCCATCTAGTAGGCAAGCGGCACCCGGATACATCGTACTGACATTTTATCTGAAGTTAAAAAAGACAGGATTTTGAAGCACTGTACTGTACATTACATTCCATTTTGATCTCTTAAACTAAATTTCCTGCTGCCTGTGTGTATAAGTGAAAAATCGCCATTATTAGTTTAAACGATTCAAAGACTTTACAAACGCCCACACACACACACACACACTTGTATTACTTTTTCAGAACCCATACACTCACCAAACACCCTTCCACCACTCACTTGTGCATCAGGCTGACAGATACAGATGAGACAGGGAGAGACAGGTATAGTGGTCAGAGGGGGGTAAGGTACTCCCAAGTGATGACACGGCCTTGTATACACCTGGTCGGGCTCCTTCCACAGGCTGAGGTCCGTGGCAGGCAGGAGATGACATCGACGAAGTGGATTACTGTCAAATGAGGAGGGGGTGGGGGGTAATGGAATCATTAAATCCATAGGATACGATCATTAATCCCTCAGAGAAACAAAAGAAGGCTATTATTAATCCTGAGTAAAAAATTTTACATTAATCCCCTAAAATCAAACAAAAAAGACCATCCCATTAATCCCCATTGAATAAATAAAAGCCAATTTAAAAAAAATCCTCTTTAACAAAACACAAATCCCTCTCACCATTTCTCTCTCAAATCCATGCAATAAAACACTATGATCCACGAAAAGCTTCCACCAAGACTTGAAACCCGACTCCCCGCACTCACCTCTTCTCATTGGGAACCTGATAGGCATTGACAGGCACCTTAGGGTTCTTTTCGTCCATATTCTTACACACGACACTCGACAGTGTGATGGTACGGATACTCTGAAGCTGACTGTAGGTGAACCCTGACCCCAGGCTTTCATACCTGGACGAGACATTGTCGTCATAGGGGGTGAAAAAATATAAAACTTATGTTATTTAGATCTTTTTCTTTATGTGTGCGTCATTACCTATCGATCTATTCATTTATCCACTCGTCTATTCATTTGTCTACCTATCCATCTATACTGCTTTATTTATTTTCAGAACTCATTTTCTAGACAAGGTAAATCAAGGGACAGGTGTACTAGAGGGGGGGCCAACAGGTGTACTAGAGGGGGGGCAGCAGGTGTACAGAGGCAGCAGGTGTAATAGAAGGACCAACAGGGTGTACAAGAAGGGGCAGCACGTGTACAAGAAGGGGACAGCAGTACTAGAGGGGGGGACAGCAGGTGTACTAGAGGACAGCAGGTGTACTAGAGGGGGGCCAACAGGTGTACAAGAGGGGGGGCAGCACGTGCACAAGAGGGACAACAGGTGTACAGGGGGACAGCAGGTGTACTAGGGGGGGGACAGCAGGTGTACTAGAGGGGGGGGACAGCAGGTGTACTAGAGGGGGACAGCAGTGTGTACTAGGGGGGACAGCAGGTGTACTAGAGGGGGGACAGCAGGTACTAGAGGGAGGACAACAGGTGTACAGAAGGGGGCAGCAGGTGTACTAGAGGGGACAGCAGGTGTACTAGAGGAGGGACAAGGTACTAGAGGGAGGACAACAGGTGTACAAGAAGGGGCAGCAGGTGTACTAGGGGGGGACAGCAGGGTACTAGGGGGGGACAGCAGGTGTACTAGAGGGAGGACAACAGGTGTACTAGAGGGAGGACAACAGGTGTACAAGAAGGGGCAGCAGGTGTACTAGAGGGGACAGCAGGTGTACTAGGGGGGGACAGCAGGTGTACTAGGGAGGGACAACATGTACAAGAAGGGGGCAGCAGGTGTACTAGGGAGGTGTACTAGAGGGGACAACAGGTGTACAAGAAGGGGCACAGGTGTACTAGAGGGGGACAGCAGGTGTACTAGAGGAGGGACAACAGTGTACTAGGGGAGGACAACAGGTGTACAAGAAGGGGCAGCAGGTGTACTAGAGGGGGGACAGCAGGTGTACTAGAGGGAGAGAACAGGTGTACAGGTGTACTACTAGGACAGGTGTACAGGGACACAGGTGTACTAGAGGGGGACAGCAGGTGTACTAGAGGGGGGACAACAGGTGTACTAGAGGGAGGACAACAGGTGTACAAGAAGGGGGACAGCAGGTGTACTACTAGAGGGGGGACAGCAGGTGTAAGGAGGGACAACTAGAGGGGGGACAACAGGTGTACAGAGGGGGACAGCAGGGTACTAGGGGGACAGGTGTACTAGGGGGGGACAACAGGTGAGAGGGGGGACAGCAGGTGTACTAGGGAGAGGGGGGACAGGTACTGTGTACTGGGGACAGGTGTACAGGTGTACTAGAGGGGGACAGCAGGTGTACTAGAGGGGGACAACAGGTGGAGGGACAACAGGTGTACAAGAAGGGACAGCAGGTGTACTAGAGAGGGACAGCAGGTGTACTAGGAGGACAGCAGGTGTACTAGAGGAGGGGACAACAGGTGTACTAGAGGAGGGAGGTGTACACACAGGTGTACTAGAGGGGGACAACAGGTGTACTAGAGGGGGGACAACAGGTGTACAAGAAGGGGACAGCAGGTACTAGAGGGGGGACAACAGGTGTACTAGGAGGGGGGACAGCAGGGTGTACTAGAGGGGGGACAACAGGTGTACAAGAAGGGGGACAGCAGGGTGTACTAGAGGGGGGACAGCAGGTGAGGGGACAGCAGGTGTACTAGAGGGACAGCAGGTACTAGGTGAGGAGGGGGGACAACAGGTGTACTAGAGGAGGACAACAGGTGTAGCACAGAGAGGGGACAGCAGGTGTACTAGAGGGGGACAACAGGTGTACTAGATGGGGGACAACAGGTACAAGAAGGGACAGCAGGTGTACTAGAGGGACAGCAGGTGTACTAGGGGGGGACAGCAGGTGTACTAGAGGGGACAACAGGTACTAGAGGAGGGACAACAGGTGTACTAGAGGGGGACAACAGGCTAGGAGGGGGGGACAACAGGTGTGAGGGGGGGACAACAGGTGTGTACAGGAGAGGGGGACAGCAGGTGTACTAGAGGAGGACAACAGGTGTACTAGAGGGGACAACAGGTGTACTAGAGGGGACAACAGTGGGAGGGGGGACAACAGGTGTACTAGAGGGGGGACAGCAGGTGTACTAGAGGGACAACAACAGGTGTACTAGAGGGGGGACAACAGTACAAGACAGAGAGGTGTACTAGAGGGGGGACAGCAGGTGTACTAGAGGGGGGACAGCAGGTGTAGGGGACAGCAGGTACACAGAAGGGGGACAGCAGGTGTACTAGAGGGGGACAGCAGGTACTAGAGAGGGACAACTAGGACAACAGGGCACAGGGACAGCAGGGTACAACAGGTGTACTAGAGGGGACAACAGGGGGACAACAGTGTACAAGAAGGGGACAGCAGGTGTACTAGAGGGGACAGCAGGTGTACTAGAGGGGGGACAACAGGGTGTACAGAGGGGAGGACAACAGGTGTAGCAGGTGTACTAGAGGGGGACAGCAGGTGTACTAGAGGAGGACAGGTGTACTAGAGGGAGGACAACAGGTGTACAAGAACACAGTGTACTAGAGCAGCAGGTGTACTAGACAGCAGTGTACTAGAGCAGCAGGTGTACTAGAGGGGCAGCAGGTGTACTGTGTACTGCAGGTGTACTAGGGGGGGGCAGCAGGGTACAGAGGGGGGGCAGCAGGTGCACTAGAGGGGGGGGGCACTGGGCAGGTGCCTAGAGGGGGGCAGCAGGTGTACTAGAGGGGGGCAGCAGGTGTACTAGAGGGGGGGGCAGCAGAGTGTACTAGGAGGGGGGGGGGCAGCAAGCAGGTGGGGGGGGCAGGTGTACTAGGGGCAGGTGTAGAGGGGGGCAGGTGCTAGAGCTAGAGGGGGCAGGTGTCAGAGGGGGGCCAGAGGGGGGGCAGGTGTAGAGGGGGGCAGGTAGGTGTACTGGAGGGGGGGGCAGGTACTAGAGGGGGGGCAGGTGTACTGGGGGGGGCAGGTGTGCTAGAGGGGGGGCAGGTGTACCAGAGGGGGCAGGTGTACCAGAGGGGGGGGCAGGTGTACTGGAGGCAGGTGTACCAGTGGGGGGCAGGTGTACTGGGGGGGGCAGGGTGTGGAGGGGGGCAGGTGTACCAGAGGGGGGGCAGGTGTGCAGAGGGGGGCAGGTGTCAGAGGGGGGGGCAGGTGAATTAGAGGGGGGCAGGTGAATTAGAGGGGAGGACAGGTGAATACAGTCAAGACAGAAATCTTACCAGAATCTGTCACTTGTCTTGGTGATTTTGAACTGCAGTGTTATGATGCAGGCGAACGTGGGTCCCACTGTAGCCCCTGGCAGGTGGTTCTCTGCCTGACGGAGGTAATACTTGGTTAGCCAGTGACGGGGTGAATATATACAGACAGTGACGTAGTAAAGTTATTTAAGAACTCAACCTAACAAATTGAAAGCTTTTACTTTGTGATTATTTTATCCATAAACATCATTCATTTACAGAGTTGTTAGAATGTTGGTAATTCACATCAATGAAAAACTTGTATGGTTATTCTTTATCACACACTAGCTTTTACACTTGACAATAATTTAAAAAATAATTCTCATCCGCGTCGATCAGAAAGGATGACATTTTCAACAATATCTATGAACCCGAAACAAGGGTGAGGAACTTGTAAAGGAAATTATCGGTACCGTCGTCTCTTTTATGGCTTTACGGATGTTTTTTTTTAATTACTTAACACAGGACACTCGTTCCAAAATGTATTTTTACGATTTTGTGTGAGACAATTAACGAGGGATTTTGACAACCCTGCTGAGACAAGTCACAATGTTTATTTTAAAATTCATCATGCTCCTCTGTAAAGAAACTTTTTGGAGTAATTATACATATCACATCAAGTATTTCCGTTTTCATTTGAAAGAGTTTTTGCGATTCAAACCCAGAGATATTACTTCCATCAACTAAAATAATGAGATGAATTTTACCAGGCCTCCCACGTAGAGATCTATGTCGTGTACATGGCGGTAGGCCTGACGTAGTGCTGCCACGGCCCGGATGGACATAAGGCTCCTCAGGTCAGAGAAGTCCTTCACCTCACCCACGCCACAGTAGAAGACGTATTTGACATAGGGAGCAAGGCCGTGATCTCGTCCTGGGCCCAAAACAGTGATACCAGAATCAATTTAATGTTGATGTTCATTGACAAACGGCAACCCTGGTGGTCACAGTGCCACAGTCTAGAAGTTTTATTAAAGAAGTCAGATCAAGGGAAGATTACGCACCTCAAGGGTTTTAAGTCATCGTATTCAAGGGGTTTTAAGTCCTCGTACTGAAGGGGTTTTAAGTCATCGTACTCAAGGGGTTATAAAATATAATCATTCAAACCTCTGGCAAGATTTAAGGCAAAGAGGTCTTGTCCTGAGTGAGGAAGGTTAGTCTTCTGGAAAAGCTCATTCATAATACTGTCCGCAAGGCGAAGGTCAGTTGGCAGCATGACAGACCCCAGCAACCCACGCAGGAGAGGATCGGCTGGGCCAGGCTGGAAGCAAATAGTGGCATTGAGAGTCTAATACAAGGCAAGAAGCCCCTCCCTTTACACTGCAGTTATGAGGAGAGTTTAGTTTTTTATGATACCAGGCTTTCAAAAATCCTAACTGCACTCCAATCAACTTTTCTTTAACCTAACTTGATCGACTCAAACTTAACTTGGCTAAACTTATTCAAGACTGACCTTAACCAAATTTAACCTAACCCCCTAAAAAACCGACCTAAGCTGAACTTAACCAACAAGCTTAACTAAACTTATTTTTTTATTACCCGACAGGAAAAAAAAACAACTTACGCTAATCAAGCTGGTCACGTTGTGGAAGGTGGAGACCATTGGCACAGAGGAGAGGAGTTTGTAGTGAGGATCCAGGAGTTGCAAGGTGTCGGGGATGGAAGAGTGACCCATTCTGAAGGCTGCCGTAGAGAACTCGTTGAGGATGCTGGGGTTCCTGCTTTCATTGTAACCCTGGAAGAGTACAAGACCTCAGTATGTCTCCTAGCAGGCAAGAAAGACCACAATATGTCTCCAAATAGACAAAAAAGACCATAATATGTCTCCTAGTAGGCAAGAAAGACCTTTTATGTCTCCAAGTAGACAAAAAAGACCACAATATGTCTCCAAGTAGGCAAGAAAGACCCCATTGTGTCAAGTCCACCACACACACAGGTGAACCCCACTCTAAACAAAAGATTTACAGGATCTGGAAAGATTAAGCCTGTACAGTAATTATACAAACTTGAATACATTGGTACATAAATCTTTAGCCATTTACACACACATTATTTATTCCAGTACACGATAGTTCCCAGTTACCATAAAGTATCCATTCTGTTGAGGCAGTAGTTTGTGTCTGGCCGCCATGTCGTAACCTACTATGATAGGTACATACTCTAGAGACGTGCAGTGCTGGTGTTGAGCGATATTAATCCTTCGAGCTTCCTGTAGGGGCAAGAACAAGACAAAAACAGGATATATTTGTAGAATTGGAACCAAAAGTTCCATAATAGGTTTCGTTCTTTCCACTGCATGGTTCTTATATCTTATATGTGGTCTCTTAATATAACCCCCTTTAAGGGAAGCCCATAATTATATAATTGGGTTATGATATCCTAACAAAAGCCAATTAAGTTAAGGTCATTATCTCATGAAGAAATTCTCTCCCAACAAAAGTCCTTCAAGGTAAGGCCATCATCTAACAAAAGTCCTTCAAGGTAAGACCATCATCTAACAAAAGTCCTTCAAGGTAAGACCATCATCTAACAAAAGTCCTTCAAGGTAAGACCATCATCTAACAAAAGTCCTTCAAGGTAAGACCATCTAACAAAAGTCCTTCAAGGTAAGACCATCTAACAAAAGTCTTTCAAGGTAGGACCATCTCACAAAAGTCTTTCAAGGTAGGACCATTATATCTACGGAAAAGCGTCTCCCACTAACCCCAGTTACCAATCTGAGGTCTTGATCGAGCAACATTTGTAAGAAGGACTACCCCAAATCCCTGCCGTTTCTTCCCTTATCACTCTTAAGTCCCCTTCACAAGTACCTGAAAGAGTTTCTCATCGTCCCAGTGAGTGTTGATCGCCTGCAGAGACTTGGCCAGGCGGTTGTGCTCTCTGTGGAACACCATGTGCAACAGCGCCAGGCCTGGGTTCTCGTTGGGCCTAGGAAATGAGTAGAAGCTCACATGGTACTTTACGTGCATACGACAGGGACTGAAAGCTTTACACACCTAAAACAAACACTATGATGAGTGATATCTCTCACACACACACACCTGGGATCACCAGAGAAGGCACATAATTTATCATAGGTGCGGCAGTCTGGGAAGTTGTGGCTTTCCTTCAGCAACAATCTCTCGTTTTCACTCGAGTTTAGCAGACCGCCAGAGAACAGTCGGAGGTTCTTCTGCACACACAAATCATTCCCGTAAATCTGGGGAATGAAACCCAATTTCTATAAGGGAAGAACCGCTTATCTGGGGATAAAACTGGAAATCCCGGTACCAACATTACCCCATACTAGCAATAGGATACTTTCCATATATCAAAACAGTTTCCTTGATCTCTCCGGGACAAGTTCCCTGCCTTCTGTTGTGCTGAGGGAAGGAAGGAGGAACATGACTTACCAGAGACAAGTCGAGGAAGGCGGTGTTTAGGTTGTGCTGCTGTAGAATCTTCCTGCCCCTGTAGTCCTCCTCGAACTTAGCGACGCTTCTGGGAACCAAGTGAAATTTAGGGACTGAAAATATGTGGAATTAATCAAACTTCTCTGACCATACAAGTATAATTTGGAGATAAACAACAATTTTCCTTCAACAAGATAGTCAAACTAGATTTGAAGGCCCATAAAACTACATATCATAATAAATGTGGACACGAACAGGATAAACAAATACTGAGAACGAAAATATGAACAAATTACACTCAAGTTACTGAGGTCAATTTGTGTCCATTGCCATGATTAATCTTTGACTGTGACCCCTGATCCCCCAACTGCAGTAGAAAAATCAGATAATTTGAGTTCTAAAATCTTCTGGCTTTCAACTGCTAAGGGATACTGAGGATGTAGCCAAACCAGGCAGACACGAGTGTTCTAGTACCTGACAACTGGGAGGCAGCGACGTTCGCCTTTGTCATCAAGAGACGGTATGAAAGGGTCGTACTTAGGCAGTGGGATGGGGGCACACCACGGGGCCTGCCATGAAGTACACGAGTTGCAGATCTTCTTACCGTGTGCATCTGCAAGACTACGACAAAGTTAAGAGAAAGTACTACACACAGAAGACAAACTTAATACAGTAATCATAAAATTAATTGGTGTTAGGTTAGGTACACAAACACCAGGGAACACTTGCCTTTGAAAACACTTGTGATGGAGTAATCGTGGTCAATGAACTGTCCCATCTGCATAACCATAGCATTGTGTTGTGGGGCAGAGAAGATGGTGGGCTGGCTGGGGTGAGAAGGAAGGTGAGGCACACGATGCACCAGGAGACTCACCAGGCGCGGGTTGGGTAGGAGGCCGCCCAACACTGAGGCAGTCCGCATCATGCCACGGTCTGACACGGGAGGAGAGATTAAAGAGATACAGATACCATAAATCCCCTAAAACCGCCCTTAAAATGAATTGAAACCTAAATCGTCGTCTTAAAATTATTAAGATTAACCCTATTAACAAAACCTTACTTTCACTTCACCATTTGGTCAAATTTCTATACACAGTTTATCAAGGGATCTGTAATTTAATTCTTGCTATTATCCGGGTACGATAGGTGGACAGACAGACAATTCCAGTCCAGCCTAACACAATTCACAGGCCGGGATGGGTAGGGAAATACAGTATAAAAGTATTATGATATTTAACTTCCTTTGTATCTTTTGGGATTTTGTCATCTTAAACCACCCCCACCAACCCACAGCAGCGTCAAGGGCTCACCATACACAGGCGACAGGAGGCGGTAGAGGAACTGGCCTGAAGTGCCGTACTCCGGGTGGATCAAGTTGTTACAGCGACCAGACGCACTCCGGTAAAGCACACTCCCGTCACACGTACCAACCGATATCCTGATGGGAAGAAATATTTTCATTCCTGGTAATATAAAAATAATTTTATCCTAAGATTATCCGCCCTAAAATACTTGGCGTTTCATAAGGAGTTTAAAAAATAATTCTAGGTAGATGATATATTCATATATTCTATGAGCCATTGTGTATAACAGACAAATGAACGACTGCCCGATCATCTAGCTAGTGAGCCAACCAGGGGCAGTAGCGAAGATTAAAAAATAACTCAAGCTTTACATTTACTTCTCCAGTTCAATAAACTTTAATGCTAAAACGTTAAGAAAATCAAGTTACTTGCACTTCTTGGGGAGCATTGCGAGGTGGTCAGGACTCAGCTCTGGCGGGAGGTTGGCCTCGAGGCCATCGGGATCCAGCCAATAGGGCGATGCGGTGGGGTCCAGGTAGCCTGAAAGAAGTGGTTTATTAAGTCACATTCCATAACCTGTATTAACCGATTAACCAAGGATTTAGCTTGTGGATACACCATTAACGTCAACTGAAATAAAAAAACAAACAATGATCTTAAGATATGACTAAGTTAGTATACGTTGGTTCGGTTTGGTCTATTATTATTGGTGCAGAGGAACATCCTCACCCGAGGCATCGTTGTAATTTAGTGAGAGAAACGTCCAAACTCACCTGTTGGAGCTTTCAGTAACGACCTCCACACTCAAAAAGTCTTATCAAGGTATGGCATCATTTCCTTGCCCAGCCACCAGAGTCTAGTGACTAGACTAACCAAGGCACACAGTAAGGTCAGGTAGGGAGCAACATGCATTAAATACTATCAACAACTCAAAACCTGCGGTAGAGGTGTAGAAAAGGGTGACCACCAGAAGGAATTAACAGAATTGGTTGAATTTTTTTCTACAAACTAATATGATATTAAACACAAAATGGAAACAATGCATTGAACCAAATAGAACCTGACCTGACATACCCATAGGTTGGGTTTGTTAGGTCAGGTTATATTAGGTTCTATGCATTATCGTGTTAATATTGAAGTTGATACACATCAGCAATGGCGCGGAGGAATTTGTGGAAGCGTTCACCATCATTTAAAGGAAACGTCTCTTGGAAAGGGATTCAGCGAGGTAAACAACAAAAATGGCGCCGGGAGGAGAATTGTGAAGCGGGAATAGAGTAAATAAAAAAAATACTTAAAATTATAATAATCGAAATCATCAAAACAACAAGTACAACAAAAATCAAGAAAATCAACAAAAACTTCTGGTGGTCATCCTTTTCTACACCTTTGCCAATCCTGGTAGTTGAATGGCGCCCCTGGTCTTAAAACTTGCCAACAAATGGTCGCTGGGCTGAGTTATGAGACCTTTTGACGGTGGCGGCGACGGGAGTCTTCCTCAGAGGGACCTCCACTTGTCTACCAACACTGGCGCTCACACACGCCAACACCTGCAAGAATGATACAGCTTAGCTCAAACCTCAAAGAGCTTCATGGATGTGTGAGTACATTGTGTCTTATTGATCAGGCTGTAGTCTTTGGGAGCACCAACAGTGAGTCAAAACGAACCACCAAATTTAACCCACCAAGTTACAAAACCAAACCAACTTCACGTTAAACCCTTCACTTCGGGGACACCACTTTTAATATTTTATTTGGCTAACGCCAGACGATTTTATTCAACTAAGAGGGGGGGGGGGGGCGCAAGCAAGGGGTTATTCATCTACGTATGTATATACACATATATGTATACATGAATGAATGAATATAAAAACAATCGAGGATAACAAAATATTAAAAACAAACTAACCTAACCTTTTTAGGTTAAGTTAGATCAGGTAAGGTAGGTTAATTTGGGTTTTTTTTGAACGACTAATTATATAACAGCAGTACTTGCTACTTTGTACAGTAAAGTTCTCAGTCTTGTCGAATGTCAACAACAGCGTTCGGGATTTTGCGCCCGATGAATACAAGATTACCGTGATCTTAATGTTATGTTCGGAAACGGAAACCAACAGGGCATATAATGGGAGGGAGGTGGGGTAGGGAAGAAACTGGTGGGGAAGCTAGGACTTCAAAAATATTACACAAACTACGAGCTTAGACACATTCATCTCTCCTAAGAGTGCATGCTGTGCCAACTCACCACAGCCACGAAGGTGTTCATTACGAGAGACAAGTAGATAGGAATCGGGAAGCACAGTACCTGGCCGGCCTGCACATTAGTCCTCACACAACACAACGACAACTGATGAATGATGACAACTGACTCGGCCAGTCGCAGTGCATCATGGGTACTAAGGAAGGACGTACACAGATATATAAGTCGTGAACCCTCGCCCTGAACCCGTACTACAGTCGTTAACTTTTCAACTCCTAGATGTCGCCACAACCACCACCGCAATTGGTGGCCTATTGGTGTGTCCTAGATGATGCCTCTACTTCTGTACCGTATTAAATTTTCTGCAGTAGATGGATTAGTGATTTTACAAGCATATTCAGGCCAATATGTTTTCTCTGGTGACTTTGTTGAACATGGTTATATTAATTTGACGAAAGCTTGTCTAGTCTTTTATCGGTCAGCATGGATGCTATCGCCTAAAACAGCGTTTCTTAACCTGGGGTGCTGGGAATGAACAAAATAAATTATCAAGCAGTATTTTATTTACTTTTTATAGCCCTGTAGCAACTGTAGTCTCTGCAACCAGATGCAGGGGGTGCTGGACTGCCTTGACCTGACTACAGGGGGTGTTGAGGTCGGAAAAGGTTAAGAAACGCTGGCCTTAAATCTAAATAGACAAGTTTTACCATTATATCTTATGTTTCTCTTTTCCCTCCAGACCTAACGAGTATAATAGTCCACCTCCAAATCCTATATTTTCGCCTTAACTTCACGAGTAAATGGTATACGGTGAGTAAGAGTTTGTTTGCCTCTACTGACCTGACTGATGAATATGTTTTTCTCCAGATATATTATTTTGGGTTTAGAAGTTGCTAATATATTGTTCATAGTAATTGTGTGTGTGTGTATGTTCTACTATGAACATACACTAACAAAATAACTTCCACATTTTTGGCAACATCTGACGTCACCTGAAGGATCATGTAGGTAAAGGCGATTGGAATCTTAACATATTTACTCAGATTTTCGTTTAATTCATAGATGATTCGCATGTTATTACAATGTGATTTATAATATCAAGTCTTATAGTTTGATCAAGTTCCTTATATACTATTTTGATTCGGTTTCCAGTGACTTATGTTAAATACTTTTAACAACAAACTAAAAACTAATAGAATTATACAATAAGCATTACTGTTGTGGACTTTAATGAAAATAATAAACTTGACAATTTTAGGTTTACATAGGATGATTGTGGCCTCAGTTGTGATCAGATATGGGATCATTAATAACAAACAAGACTCCCCCCTCAAAAGAGCCTTTCGAGTCTGATTGGCTATTGACAAAGCTGCTGACCGCTAAAGATCCGATAATAATCAATCACCCGGGAATATTAAACCTTCGCTTCTTATCGTCCATTTATCTCGCTAATCCAATCAACGTATTTTCTATTCAATACTACGTTCTCTCTTGTGAATAGGATCAAATAAATTATTGGGTCTTATAAGGTCGTTCAGATATCTAGACGGTCCGTCCCTCGTGACGATCTTCAGGAGTGAAGTGCTTCCCCATCTGGAGTACTGTCACCCCATCTGGTCCCCGAGATATGCTAGGGACTGTCAGTTGGTTGAAAATGTTCAAAGGAGGGCCACCAGACTGGTGCCTGCACTTCGGCACCTCAGCTACCCTGAGAGATTGGAGCGCCTGAACTTGCCTAGCTAATACTACAGACGGGCAAGGGGGGACCTAGTTGAGGTTTATAAGCATCTCAGGGGGCACTACTCAGTTGAGTGTCCTTACTTGGAGCTGGCGGACGCTCGCCCCACAAGGGGTCACAGCTCAAGATTGAAGAAGCCGCAAGTCCAGAAAACCGTGAGGGCAAACTTTTTCGGAGTGAGAGTTGTAAACTCTTGGAACAATCTACCAGTGTGTGTTGTGACGGCACCGAGTGTGAGCTCTTTCAAGAGAAGACTTAACCAACACTGGAGCCGGTGCATGCCCAATATTTGCCAACAGTGCGTGACAGAGACGTGACCGATCGCCCGGGCGGCTAGCGAGCCGACCTTTTGGTGAAGAATATAAAGGAAAAGAGACGTGACCGATCGCCCAAGCGGCTAACAAGCCGATCAGTGGCGAAGAGGATAAAAGTAAAGTAAAAGAAATAGTGAGGGCCATGTTGAAGGTATCGAGAGAAAACAGTAGTGAGTGAAGGGGGGACTCGTGTGTTGCTACGCAGAGGGAATATAATTGAAGAAAAACTTTAATTTAGTCTAGTTTACCATTAATATACAGATTTCTTCTTCCACATCAGTTTCCTCTGCAATCTGGTATCATCGTCATTATGAGTCGAGTTTAGAGGAAATCAAAACCATTGTTACTTATTTTATATTTGCTAAATTAGTTTGTTTTAAACGTCAACGAATTACAGTTTAGTTGGATTGTCTAATAAATATTACTCCACGTAAACTCTCATAGACTCGCACACGATAACTCTTTACACCTCATGTTCGTTCTTAGCTTCAAAACATCACAATTCATAACTAAATCTTTAATATTTCCGTCATAATATAGCTCGCTCATAATCCATTTTCTATATATCTTAAATTGGGTTTTAAAAACTTATAATATTCTCGTTTAATAAATATTCCTCTTTATTATAATAACCAAAAGACGATACAGAATGATATGTTTTCAAAAATTTTCAGAAGACAAGCGTAATATTCTTAGACGGGAGAGCCGCTGTGTGCTAGACCATCTTGTCACCAGTGTTGAGGGGACGAGGAAGGCTCGTCAACACAGCAGCTGGCAGTGTTCGTCCTGGTTTGGCTGTTGACAGCCAGACAGTTGAGGCTTACAGCGCATCTGAGGTAAACATAAACAATTAGGGGATACGGGCTTAAATAGATATTCCTTGAAGTCTTAAGGCCACACCAGATATATATACGGGTAAAAGTCAACGTCTGAAAAATAAACTAAATAAATTAATAACAAGATAAAAGATGATTTGTTTGCTATAAATTCCGTTTCTACATTAGTCTGGGTGGATCAAGGGGGTACAGATACTTTAACAGAGAAATGATGAAAAACATAAATACAGGAGGTTCAGCAGGCGAGAGACGAGATTCGCCTTGACGAGAGACAGAATTTACCTAGCACGAGAGACAGGAGAATTACCAAGCACGAGAGACAGGAGAATTACCTAGACGAGAGAAGGAATTTACCTAGCACGAGACAAGAAATTTACCTAGACGAGAGATAAGGAATTTACCTAGCAAATGTGACAGGGTCTTCCCTAGCACGAGAGACAGGGTACTCACATGGCCGTGGGAGAGACAGAGACAGACGAGACAGGGAGAGACGTGGACGTATCTGCCAGGAGGGTGAAGTTGACCCCTGTAAGCACATTCCACCTGAAGAGGGTAGTGTTCCTCCTCCCATAGGGTCAGGTCAAGGGAAGCCAGCTGGTCACACAACTTCAAGGGGTTCCTAATGGGGGGAGGGGGGTAAAGTTGTCCTGGTTAAATAGGTTTCAATCCTAATAGGTTTTCTATTAACAGGTTTCAATCCTAATAGGTTCTCAATTAATAGGTTCCAGCCCTAATAGGCCCTAGAATTATAACACCAGTTCTGATAGGTCTCAATCCTAATAGTACCCAGGCACTTACTTTAGGAGGAAAAGAGGTACTCACTCTCTCTTAGAAGGGAGGAAGAATACATTGGCAGGAATTCTAGCGTCGTCTTCATCCAAGTTGTCACAGACGAGGCGAGCCAAGGAGGAGGAAGTGCGGACGTCGTGAAGCTGAGGAGGTGTCAGCCCTGCGTCAGCGTTCTCATACCTGACAAAAAAAAAAAACCTTCGATATACTAAAATAAATTAGGGTCACATGAGAATTAGCCACCCCTTCTCCCCAGCTTATTATTATTAAACTTATATAAATTAGTTTGTGTATTAGTAAATGTATAAAGGATCGAGGGTCGGGGGAGGATCGGGGGAGGGTCGGGGAGGGTCGGGGAGGGTCGGGGTCGGGGGAGGATCTGATGGTCGGGGGGAATCGAGGGTCGGGGGATCGAGGTCGGAGGAGGATCGAGGTCGGGGAAGGATCGAGGGTCGGGGAGGATCGAGGGTCGGGGGGGTCGGGGAGGATCGAGGGTCGGGGAGGATCGTGGGGAGCATCGTGGGACAGGGTGTGCATGGGGAGGGGAGACTCACCAGAACCTGTCGCCACGTCGGGAGTTGAGAAACTGGTAGGCGATGATGCAGGCGAATGTTGGCCCCACCAGACCTCCTGGTACATGATTCTCCGCCTGCGATGAGCAACAGTCGATCTTATTATCTCAGGTTTTTACCCAAACACACACCGACCCTCTCACTAATCAACTCCCGACGGTTTTCTTTAGCCTCTAACATACCCCAGAACATCATTATATAGCCCAAACATCATTATGTAGCCCTAACATAGCCCAAACATCATTTTATAGCCCTAACATAGCCCAAACACCATTATGTAGCCCTAACATAGCCCAAACATCATTATATAGCCCTAACAGCCCAAACATCATGATGTAGCCCTAACATAGCCCAAACATTATATAGCCCTAACATAATCCGAGCATCATTATACAGCTCAAACATAGCCTTAACACCGACTCAACATAGTCAACTAACCACCAACTCGTCATTTCGTAACATAGTCCCAAGACAACTTCTGGCACATACAGTACACAACACAGCCCCCACATGCACAACACAGCCCCTACATACTCACCAGGCCCCCCACATACACAACACAGCCCTCCATACTCACCAGACCACCACATACACAGCCCCACATACCATAGCACATACTCACCAGACCCCACATACACACAGCCCCCACATACAGCCCCTATATACTCACCCCCACATACACAACACAGCCCCACATACTCACCAGCCCCTCACATACACAACACAGCCCCTACATACTCACCAGACCACCACATACACAACAGCCCCTACATACTCACCAGATCCCCACATACACAACAGCCCCCACATACTCACCAGACCCCCCACACAACACAGCACTCACCACACCCCACAACAAAGCTCCTACATACTCACCAGACCCCCACATACACAACACAGCCCCCACATACTCACCAGACCCCCAGGGAAGAGGTCCACATCTTCAACATGAGCATAAGCCTGACGAAGGGCGGCCACGGCTGACTGTGACATTACACGGAGTAGGTCGTCGAATGAGGTGGCAGCCTCACCACCACACGCTGCCCGATACTTGATGTAAGGCCCAATCCCGTGATCTCGACCTGACCAACACACACACACACACGGAACAAGGCCATTATGGTTAAATAGTTATAGGTAATACGTCATTTGAATAATCACCTGAGGACTAGACATCCAAGCTTATTTCACCTGAGGATACCTGTGGGGCGTTAGGTTAGGTCAGGGTGTTTAATCATATATATATATTTTTTTTTACCATTATAACATTTTTCTCTTACTACACGTATCCCATTCTTCTTCACATCTCCTCCTCCTCCTCTGTACTTCCTTGTTTCATCTCACACAAACGTAAGAGAATAATCAATAAAAATAAATTAAAAGTAGATACAAAAGTATAAAAAATAATACTTTTCTCATGGATAGACTAAAGTGAAAGTAATAAAAGTGTGGGTCATTGGTGAGAAAAATATATATATAACATTCTTTATTTCCTGTGTATAATGTCATTGTGTTCACAGGGTTATAATATCGTATTTAAAGTGTTAAGAGATCGTACTCAAGGTGTTAAAATATCGTACTCAAGGTGTTATGTTATCGTACTCAAGGTGTTATGTTATCGTATTCAAGGTGTTATGATATCGTACTCAAGGTGTTATGTTATCGTACTCAGGGTGTTATGTTATCGTACTCAGGGTGTTATGTTATCGTACTCAAGGTGTTATGTTATCGTATTCAAGGTGTTATGTTATCGTACTCAAGGTGTTATGTTATCGTATTCAAGGTGTTATGTTATCGTACTCAAGGTGTTATGTTATCGTACTCAAGGTGTTATGTTATCGTACTCAAGGTGTTATGTTATCGTACTCAAGAGGTTAAGTTGCTCCTACAAAATTAACCCAAGTTAATTTATGAAGTCAGCTCGTGGTCTCATTGGCTATGCTGGAGACAACACATGCCATCAGCCAATACACATCCCCCAATGGAACATACCATTAACCAATCAGATCCTCTACAAATCACGCCATCGACCAATCACCGTCGGAAAACATATCAAAACTAACAGTGTTCTTGTAAAACGGTTACCCAAATTTGTCTTATGCAACAATAAATGAAAAAAAAAATGATCGATCACCTGAAGAATAGACACCCCTGCTTATTTCACCTGATTTGAACACCCTGATACTACCTGCAGGGAAGGTCAGCGTTCGGGTATTTAATCAATGTGAAATAAATCAGCGTGCCTAATCCTCAGGTGATCCAAATAGACTAACCAGAGAGGGTGGTTGACGACCTACCTATAGCCACGAGTTACAAGCCTTACCTCTGGCGATGTTCCTGGCGAAGAGGTCTTGGGGAGCAGTGTGGAGCCCCTGGAAGAGCTGGTTCAGGATGGCCCCCTCAAAGCGTAGGTCGACGGCCTCAAGCCTTGTCCCCACTAGTCCACGCACCACGGTGTCAGACATACCAGGCTGTGTGTGGGGGGTTAGGTTAATCTGGGTTAGGTTAGTCTGGGTTAGGTTAGTCTGGGTTAGGTTAGTCTGGGTTAGGTTGGTTTAGGCGGAGTTAGGTTTGGTTAGGCTGGTTTAGGTTTGGTTGGGTTAGGTTTGGTTTAGCTAGGCTGGGTTAGGTTAGGTTAGGTTTTGTTAGGCTTTTCTTCCCTTCCTATGCCAGTTCTCCCACACTTTCTCCCCTTTCCCCCCAGCCCTTTCTTCTTCTTTCCCTCTCCCAATCCTCTCTCTCTCTCCCTCCCTCCCTCTTCCAACCTTCTCTCCCTCCTTCCCACCCCCTCCCATACCTCTTCTCTCACCTTCAGCGCCAGGGAGGAGTTGTGGAAGGTGTGGACGAGAGGAACAGAGGCCAGCGGGAAGTAGTTGTGGTCTAGGAGAAACAGCCGATTAGGTACCATGGTGTGACCCACTCTAAAGGCACTCGTAGCGAACTCGTTTAGTACTCCTGGGTTGACCCGAGCGTCGTAGCCCTGTTGGAGGAGGCGGCGGCGGCGGTTGAGGAAATACAAGGAAGAGAAAGAGGAGGAATATTTACAAGGAAGAGGAGGAGAGTAGGTGGAGGAAGAGATAGGAGGAGGAAAGGATAGGAGGAGGAAAGGATAAGAGGAGGAGGAAGAGATACAAAGAACAGAAAGATAAAGAGGAGATAATGGTTCGTTGGTAAAATTATTAATCAAAACAAATATCAAGAGAATGTTCCAAGATATCAGTGCCCTGTTTTTACCTGTCCTAATTACCTGTCCGTGCCTAATTAACCTATCAATACCCTAAATTACCTGATAGTATCCCGACTTCTCCGGAGTAAGGCGGTAGTCGGCCATCTTCTGTTGGCCGAGCAGTACTGGCAGAAACTCACTGTAGACAATATGTTGATACTGTGCAATGTTGATTCGACGTGCCTCCTGAACGACAAGGGGCGACAGTGTTAACATATGGGCGACACCGTGTTAAAATCTAGCTCACACGTCATTAAATATTGAAATTTATGCTGAAATCTGAGTTTAACGTCGAAAAACGCAAATACACATCCCCTCCACACATACCTACAAACACATCCAAACCCATAAGTACTAAATTAACACACATACACCTCCAAAACAAACACAAACACCCACACACCCAAAAACACTCACACACACACCTACAAACACACACACAGCTACAAAACAAACAAACGCCCACGCACCCTCACACACCTACAAACGCACCCCCACCCACACATAGCTACAAAGCAAACACAAATAAACGCCCACACACCCACCTACAAACACACACCCACCCCCACACACACCCTCACCCACCTACAAACACACACCCTCACGCGCACGCACTCACACACACACCCACCTGGAAGATGGTCTCGTCGCCCCAGTGAGGGTTGAGGGCAGACAGGTGGGTGGCGAGGCGGTTGTGCTCCCTGAAGAACAGTGTGTGTATCACCATCAAGGCCAGGTGCTCGTTGTTCCTGTCACCATAGAAGGGGTGTTATTATTGTGAGTGAGTATTTTTGGTGTAAAGAATAGGGGTGAAAGAAGATTAAAAGGGGTATTAAGTTTACTTCCAACAACAGATGTTTGGTGGGGTGAAAGGATGGGCTTAACTTTGTGCTCGGTGTTTATCTTAACAGAACTTAACCTGAAGAAGCCAACCCACCTGTCGTCACCAGCGAGGAAACATTTATTCTTGTCGCTGCGGCAATCCTCGAAGTGATGGGCGTCCGTCGTGGGAGGAAAACCTCTCCGGGAGTTCCCCGGCTTCACCTCCACCATCATCCCCCCAAAGTACAGTCTCAGGTCCCTCTCGCGGCACTCGTCACTCCCGTACACCTGTCATCACAACATAACAGAACTCTTGAAAGTTTTAATCTCGGGGTTACAAAAAAATGTGATTGGGTGTTGTTCGCCATACCGTTTATTCCAGCGCCTCTGTCACCCCGACCAATAAGAATTCGCGATAGCTCAAGACTCGGGGTTACCAAAAAATAATATTGGGTGTCGGAATGGTTAGAAAAAAATATGAAGGTATGTCTTAAGGCGAGCAAGAGCACTTACAAACTATGAAAGTTAAAGATATTGGAGCAGAATTTTTTTCTCGTACGGCGAAGAAACGTACATATATTTTTATAATTTTTTTTACCAGGAGAATAATATTAGGTATAAGGAAAAGTATAAATATTTTTAGAAACTTTAAAAAAAATCTTACTTCGCAGTTTGTATTTTCGAAACAGCAGCACGGAACTTGTTGAAATAAAACACTTAATTGTCTAAACCAAACGTTCAACTAAGATAAACTACTATCATGACGCAACACAATCGGCCGACGCACTGATGCCCACACAAGCAGTCTCCGTAGTAGAGGAGATGAGGATAAGACGAAGTATAGACTCACCGTGGAGAGGTCGAGGAACGCGGTGCACACGCTGGTCTGATCGAGTGTGGGCAGCCCCTGCATGTCACGCCCACCCACAGCACCACTCCTGCAACATACAAGTCATGATACAATCATTGACAGTGATCAACTCTTGCAGAAAAAGACATTAAGTAACTAACAAGTTTATCATTAGATAACACCCACTTTCCCCATTTTACCATCTCGGGACGCCCTCTGTCGCCTCACCTGACGAAGCTGAGGCACCTGCGCTGGCCGGAGTAGAGATCCTGTGGCTGGAGGTGAGAGTCGTCTTGAGGGATGGGGATTGGGGCACAGGCCGGGTCGTCCCTCCACATGCTACAGGCCTCACACTTCTTCGGGGTCGAATCCGCACCTGTAGGGAGGGAGACACACACACGTACAGGGGCGATAGTGTGTCAATGGCCGAGTGATTACCCTTCCAAATATTCTATCACACACACACCTACCCACTGAGTCGACTGACTGCCTCCCTGACTCTCCTGCCTCCCTGACTCTCCTGCCTCCCTGACTCTCCTGCCTGCATGTACCTGTGATGATGGAGATGAGGGCCAGATCGTGGTCTATGAACTGCCCTATCTGCATGAAGAGGAGGTTGTGTGAGGTGGGTGGGCCTGTGGGCGCCTCCCTCACCACCAAGCTCACCTCCCTCGGGTTAGGCAGAAGACCTCCTACTGCTGACCGAGTCCTCATCAACCCGGCGTCTGTAATACAACAGGTGGGTTAAGTTAAGTTACGTTAGGTTAGGTTAGGCTAGACTAATGAAGCACAGGGGGGGTCACTTACCATACACAGGTGGGAGGACGCGGGGCATAGGCTGGCCGGGGGAGCCCAGGTGAGGGTAGAGCAGGTTGTTACAGCGCCCCGAGATGCTCCGATACCTGGCAGATGAGTTGCACGCCACAGGTACCTCTCTGTGGCACGCCGGTGGGGCGGGGGGGGGGGTGGATGGGAGGAGGAAGTTGGGGAGGTTTTGGAGGGAAGGGAGGAGGATGGAAACGATGAGGATGGAGGCGAGGTGGTGGTGTGGAGGAAGAGGGAGGCGAGGTGGTGGTGTGGAGGAAGAGGGAGGCAAGGTGGTGGTGTGGAGGAAGAGGGAGGCAAGGTGGTGTGGAGGAAGCGAGGTGGTGGTGTGGAGGAAGCGAGGTGGTGGAATGGGAGGTGTAGAGGGGAAGAGAGAGATAATATGGTTATTAATATGGACAAGACTTAGGTAAAGATACAAAAGTTTAGGGTAGAGGGGCGTGGTCGCCAACACCACCAACTAAGTACTGGTCCTTAACATCCACTTTATTCCCCGTCAACTATTACTTTTATTTCTCTAAGTTATTTTTGTTGACTTTAAGGAGCCAGTGCAGTTGAGGCATATGAATAAAAAAAAATACATCTCTCATGCTCAGAAAACATCCATCAGTCGAGTCAGAATTAGCAGACGTTGGCTGGACTTGAAAAAAATGATGAGGAAATGTCACACTGTCATATAAAGAAGACCCTCATACTTATTAAATATATTAATGTGTTTAATCATCGTATCTCACAGCTTCTCTTTCTCATACCGGATATGTTTATGTTGTGCGCGATCTTGGAATCCTGAGAGGAGGGGGAGAGGTGGAGGAGGGGGAGGGGTGGAGAGGGGGTGGAGAGTGGAGGGGGTGGAGGGGGTGGAGAGAGTGGGAGAGGGGGTGGAGAGGGGGGGTGGAGAGGGGGGTATAAACACAATCCAACCAATTCGACCGTAACTCAAAGAATACCTAAGTTAATTGCGGTTGAGTTAGGTTAGGGTAGTGTGTGTTGTATGCAGTCAGCTGATAGGCTTTACACCATACACTCTCGCAGGAATCCAATATTGTTCACCAACAACTCACCTGCAGGTTGGAAGAGGTGGGGTCAGGTCATCGTGGGTGGTGGGCGGTGCCTTGCTCGGGCGGCGGCCTTCAGGGTCAGTCCAGTATGGCGACACGTTGGGGTCATTTTCTGAGGAAGGGTCAATCTTAGGTCAAAAGGAAAGAAGCTTGTTCGGGGCCTCAATCTCAGTAACAATAACCATAATAACAAATAACAATAGGTTAGGTTAGGTATGGATTCTCTCAGCTTCGAGTTCTCACCTTGGTTGGGTTGAATGCCGTCAGGTGTTGATGCTGCCGCTGATGATGATTGGGAACGTCTTTGATAATCAATTACTGTGGCATCCCCTTCAGTCGCCCTCAAGTTCTGGAGTGTTTTGGGATCTATGACGAGGTTCTGGACTGTTTTGAGGTTCACAGGTAGGGTCTGGACGGCGCTGGGTACTGCAGACTGGGGGTTCACTGGCTGGGTGGTGTACGGGTTGATGAAGATGTTATGGACGGTGTTGGTATCGACGAAGAAGGTGCCGCGAGAGGTGGTGACGGAGGGGTCGAGGCGCTGGAGGAGAGTTTCGGTGTGGGGGGAGGCGTCGTCGAGGGTGATGCCCGTGTACACCACCAGACCGAGGCCACCACGACACCAACACACCACCTGACATACATATACACACACGCTAATAATAATAAGGTAACAAACACAAACTGACAAAGGGCTAGAAAAACGCACACGAACGGAAAGGAAGATGCACACACATACATGAACGAGACTGACTCCCTCCAACACACAAGTACAAGAAGCTGAATACGACAAAAATAGGCAGGGCAAAGTTTAAGAACAGTTAAGGAGAGTTAAATAAGGTATAAGTATAGTCAATTGGTCACAGGTGGGCAAGTGACGGTAGTGGCCGCCTGTCGAACAACACTTCCCGTCCACCACTGGTCAGGAGGGTGCAAGAGACGGGGCTTTGTGGTGTCTGGTAGGTTACTCGGCTTTAAAATATTAAATACATGAGGATTAGCCCCCCCCCCTTCCTCCAACTTATTTCACCTGATAATTAAACACCCTAATACTCACTACCTGCTGGCTAAGTGGTGCCTCCGTTGTTCAGCAACAGCCCCACATACCTTTAGTCCTCACAGGTCATATCCAGACATTTATATCAAGGGGTAAATATTAATGGCCGGCAGTGTTAATGGTTAAGTTAGGTTGATGTCTACAATTAGTGTCCATTTAGTTTAGAGCTGTAAAAATAACTGTGAAGTACTCGAAAGTTCACAACCAGTCAACTACAACGTGACAGTCAGTGCCTGTCACACCTCATAATGACCACATACACACACAAGCTAGACCTTGATCACCCACCATCCATCAGTGTCATTGTTTAGGTAAATCCCTCTTACATTTTCTCCTCACGGGCCCTAAGTCATTCCTGCCCTGTTACCGGCACCAAAAGCTGAAAAATATCCTCTACCAACACTAATCTTGAGTCAACACCCACACAGTCGTCAACACAAGAGAGAATTAGCATTTAGTTACCAGAAATAAGAGCACCAACATTGGCTCCATCAGGACAGGTGACCACTTCAACTACACACAGCAGAGGACAGGACGCGCCACCGCACACCCACACATACTGTACACTCCAACACATTGACCGGTACAAAAAGACTATAAGAAAGACGGGAAAGTTCAGGCGTAAACAACACAACTAGGTGTAACATTTTCTCAGAGCGTATAGCGCGCCATCTATTGAGCGCACTACCAAGTACCTTTCTCAACAGGGTGCTGATAAATAATAATAATGCAAACACAGTGGCTTCTATTTAGCTCTTTGTTAGGGTGCCAACCCGGGGGATAATTAAAGGCCGCGTCTATAGTTTGTTCATTAGCGAAGGTGACAAGGGAAGATAGAAATGTTCACGCAGCGCGGCGTCTGGGCCCAAACTATCTCCCGTCAGCTGGCGGACTCATACACTGGTGCTAAACCGGCACATACCCTAACACTCTTCAAATGTTTTCCCCTTCAAAGGTATGCCTAGTATCTTCTGCCATCTACTACATCTGAAGAAATGTATCCAGAATTACTTAAAGTTACTAAAATTATAATAATGATAATACCTGCCCCTAGCATCTCCCATGGAAATTGTTTAACTTTCAACATATTATACATCGATAATAAATAGGACTTATACAATCTTACTCTTGGTCTATTTTTCAAATATATCTACAGAACTTACTTTTCTTTATCTTTGGGTAATCGATGACATACGGAATCGGGATGTGTGTCCTTTCTCTGTTTACAGATTATGCACGGGTGTCCTTTACTTGTCATGTTTATAAGACCATTCATTTCTATATTGTGCTCGTGTGTGGATTGCGATTGTCATATTCAATGTGTAAACTAGCAAACGACGCGCTCCACACTAGCGACATCTATCCACCGCACTACCAAATTTGTGCGTTCGTTCGTGTGTTAACCATTACATGTGAATGCCTGAGCTTTCCCGTCTTTCTTATAGTCTTTGGCGGTACTGCTGATGACACACGAAAAAAAGTGAACTCCGATTGTCTGCTGTTTTAGCGTCGAATGAATCACTTCTTGTTTGTGAGCCTAAATGAATGAAGCTTCGAACAGTGGTTGAATTTGTCTCGAAACATCTCGATTCAGGAAGTCGAATATTCCAAGTTTAAGAGATATATTAAGCGAAGATTCAAGGACAGGTTGTTTCAAGACTCATCGAATCATCTAACAACGAAGATTCGCTGTTCTTGCAGTCTAAATCAACAAATTATCGAGTACACTATCGACACTCACTACACCCAAGCTCAACAAACCGTAATTTACGGCAACATAATCGATTAAACCAAGTCGTCAATGTCCCGATATCGCAAAATCAATCTCTGCTATACGAAGGAGTTAACGTTACGATATCGGGATCATTATCGGCTGAATAACCGATAGCTCCCAAGGGAACTCTGTATCTAGCAAACATATTCCTGTCTGACAATATTACTCCATTAGGTTAGGTTAGGTTAGGTTATCATAATACTTAAAGTCTCCTTAAGGTACGGCTGCCTGGGCTCTGTACGAAAGACAAGAAATCCCTGACTAGGTTTATTACTGACGTGTTGTACTTCCCACCCGCCCCGCCCCGCCCCGCCCCGCCACCACCTCCTCCAGGCCCCGCAGACAACAACGCCGTATTTTTTGTGGGTTTACAAATGAAAACAAACACCACCATATACTTAACAAAAGTGTTACCTGACCTAATAAACGAAACCCAAAAACTAAACACACCTTCCACTCTCAGATCCCAGAACATCTAAGTACTGTATTGTATAATTTTCCTCCATTAGCTAATAGTAAATTCAACCTTATGGAAGAACATCTGAAGGGTGAAAATAATAATGGGTGAAAGAGACAGACAACATGATAACACTTTAATCACCCAGAGTTGTGTTTCCGTGTCTGGTATAGAGGGAGGAGCGGGTAGGGGGAGGGGGGGGGGCCTTACGGTAAGGCAGATTCCATTCGTTGTGTAACTTCCCCGGTAATAGCAGGTAGTCCCTCACGGAGCATACTTCCGCCTACTGACGAAGACGAAGATGAAGATGGTCTCCTCCCCCTACCTACTTACTTCCTCCCTCTTCCCTACCTCCTTCCCCCCTCCCTTCCTCCTCTCCCCTCCCTACCTCTTTCCCCCTACTAATCCCCTACACCCTTCCCCCTCCCATCCTCCTCCCCCTTCCTCTCCCCAAGGTCCTAGGTATTAGACTAACTCCTGGAACTGCTGCTGGTTTTTCATAATTTCTTTTCTGGAGAAGCGAGGGAGGGGAAGCGAGAGGGGGGGGGCGTATATCCCTCTGACGCAGGATATACTAATTTCTATATCTTGGATACTCGAAAAGACACATTTTAATAGTATATACGATAAGGCTCATGAGGTATATATGATGAAGGGAAGAATGAATGGTTGAAATAAATACTGAAGAAGAACTAATGTAATGGTATTTGTGTTTAGCTGTGAGGTTCTGGATGTTGTGTGATGTTAGGTGATGTTTTCCGTTGTTGTCTGCATTACCCCACTCCGCCACAACACAGCCCCACCACCACTTACCACCCCACTCCGCCTGTACAGCCCTACCTCCACGCGCCACAACTGGCCCCACCTGCCTCCGCCCCACCACCTCCGCCACAACACAGCCTACCTCACTCCCGCCACAACACAGCCCCACCTCCCCTCCGCACAACACAGCCCCACCACCCCCTCCCTTGCTTTAGCCCCACCACCTCCGCCACAACACAACCCCACCACCTCCGCCCACCTCCGCCACAGCAGCCCACCACCTCCGCCTACAGCACAGCCCACACCCCTCCGCCACAACACAGCCTACCCCACTCCACTTTGTACAGCCCCACCACCTCCGCCACAACACAGCCCCACCACCCCTCCACCCCTAGCAGCCCTACCCTCCGCCACAACCCACCACCCCACTCCGCCTGTACAGCCCTACCCCTCCATACCTTTGTTACCACCCCTCCACCCTTTGACCCCCACTCCCATACAACCCCCTCCACCACAACACAGCCCTACCCCTCCCGCCACAACAGCCCACACCCCGCCACCACCCCCTCCACCCCCAGCACAACCCCACCACACACCCCACCATACCACCCACTCCATACAGCATTACCCACCCCTCCACCCCCTTGTCCCACACCCTGCCACACCTCCCTTACCTTGGCCACACACCCCACCCCCCGCCCCACCCACCTCCCTTTAGCACAGCCCACCACCACACCCCGCCTTACCACCCCACTCCACCCACAACACAGCCCCACCACCTCACCCCGCCACACCCACCACCACACCACACGCCCACACACAATGCCCTTCCTCTTCTTCGCGCCTCCCTCGGTCAGCCCGGGGTACAGATGGCGCTGTGTTACGCTGTCGAAATGTGATGGGAAGGAAGTTAAGGAGATATTACGAAATGGTTATACAACAGTTTCGGAGAGAGAGAGAGAGAGAGAGAGTGATTTGGTTAGACCCATCTGAATTTTCCTGGGTTCTTGGTTACGTATTTTGGTCTTTCGGTCATTCAGAAATTATGGGTAAACTTGGTCTCTGGAGTTTCGTGAGTCTCGGATATTATTTCGTGTGTCTCGATTATACGGGATCTGGTTAATTCGGTCTCTGTGTTGTACGAAATTTGGTTAATTTGGTCCGTACACTGGGAGGGGATGAAGGCTAGAAACGTGATTGGTTGAGACAGTGGTAACGTCATCGTCGGGTATGGAGAGGGAGGTATTGTGATTAGCTTAAGTTCTTGTTGATGTTATCCTTTTAGGTATGTGATTGGTTGAATTATTAGTGACGTCATCTCTGGGTATGAATATGGAGGGAAAGCAATTGATTTAATCCATGTTGACGTCATCCTTGTGCGTAGAGGACTCGTGTATAATTCCTACTTGTGTATGGCGGAAGGAAAGGTGGAATCATTGGTGACGTTATTCATAAGGGAAGGTGAATGGTTTAATTTCTAGTGATGTCATCCTCGTATATGAAGACTAGAAAGGGGATTGGATTAATAGGTAGTGACGTTATGTTTATTTGTGAAAATTAGATAGGGGATTGGGTTAATTTTTATGACGTCATATTTATTAGTATAATGTAGAAAGGTGATTGGTTTAATTAGTGATGACGTCAATGGCGGTGTGTAGGGGAGAGGAATGTGACCATATGCCACATCGAAGGTCACACCTATCACATGACCTAACGTAACGAGCCTCTCTGACGTCACACTGGCCGATGACGCCATGGAAGTGATTGCCAATAACAGAGGTGATTGGTAGTCCTGACGATTAGGGTATTGGCTATTCGTTTTGTAAATAGCAAATCATGAATATCAGTTATGCGAAGAAAATTGGGGAATAGTGAAACAGTAAGGTCAGGTCAGGTCAAGTTAGGTATCACGTAATTTTTATCTGATCTCAGTCTCTCTCTGAAAGGTCATATCAGATTCTCTTTAAACTTATCACAATTTCCCTCAACGCTTAATCACAGTCACCACCCAAGCTGATCACAGTCGTCACCCCCCAGTAAGCTGATCAGTTACCATCCAAGCTGATCACAGTAAGCTGGCTACGTGTATCCAGGCCATGTCCTTCCTATCTTACGACTCAGTATTATTCTTCACTTAGTGTCACATGTGATGATTTGTGACTCGTAAAACATTGCCTCCCTCTGTGTGGCTGAAGAGAAATTATTATCTCTCTCTCTCTCTCTCTCTCTCTCTCTCTCTCTCTCTCTCTCTATCTATCTCTCTCTCTCTCTCATTCTTTTCCTCCCTCAATCTCCTTTTTTTCTCACTCTCTTTCTCTCCTCTTCCTCCTCCTCCTCACCTCCCCGTAGAGAGAGGCCTTTGTCACCAGGGGTTGAAATAATAGGATCTGATGTCTTCGACTACAGAAGCCATAATGATGCTAGATATGCAAATGATCCCCTTGGGTGCCTGTCTAGTCTGATGTAACCCGTAACTAGATTATAAACCTTTTGGTGGTTTAACAGGAGAGTGGTTTAGTCAATGAGGTTT